ACTGTAAGAAAGACTGTAAGACTGTGACTGGCTGTAAGAAAATCGAGGGCACTGGCTGTCACTGGATGTTGAAATCTTTCTGTGCTTTCACCTTTCCCACTAAGACGGCACCGCCTCAAGCAAAATCCTAAGCTTAGACGTATCTCCAACATCACAATCCTCAGCTACAACAGGCCAGATTGGCTGGAAATATTTGTCCAATTTAAAATGCTGTTTGTTCATTTGCATACCTTGTTCCCTCACATTCTTCTTTCCAGGAGCTCTGTAACGATCACATACAAAACCAGATACACAGACCTTCCAACAGCACTCACACCTTTGGGTTTGACCAGATGTTTTTAATCTTATGTCTAGAGCTGTAGATAGATAGAGAAAATGCTTTAAATTAGATTATTTTGAAGCTTGCAGAGTTGGCAAGTCTTCAGTGAAGTACGAGCTATTTTATTAATTAAAAAAAAATTCCTAGAGCTTTAACTTAAATTTCAAATCTTGAATTAAAAGACAGAACAATGGAAATTTGTTTTGTATAATTACCTGGGGAGTTTTAAAGTTTTTTTACAGTTCTATGGTTCAACTACATACATCAGTAAGACATTCCCTACGGTACCAGAACATAGCTTGGTACATAAATATTTGACAGAAATACTCTATTTACTACACATATTGTATACAATTATCACATAAAACCCCTCTAAAACAGTATATATTCCTTTTCCAGAATCCTTCTCACACCACAGTGTGTGCACTGTATCAAAGATGGGCATACAAACATTTTTTTTTTCAGTAGAGGACTTAACAAGTGAAGAAACCACTTGGAACTTGAGACCTGCATGCAATCTCAGGCCTCCTTCATTCATAAACCATGTGTGTTGTAACACAGGCAAAACCCCAGTTTTTGGTTCATTACACCCCTCAAATACCTTGGGCCATGCCCCCGTACATCCTTTTCCATACCCTAAAGGTGAATTCAAGCACAGCATATTTCAGTCTTGAATAGTTCTCTTGCCTTGGTATGGTCTTAGTAAGAACACACTCTCTCTCATTAAGGAACAGCGTGTGGCCATTTGTAGTCAACTCTTCATCTTAGGTGTATAAGCAATAGTCACGTAAATGAGTGTTTCCATTCATGTGTTTTGTTTTGTGATTAAATCAACAAATCAAACATTGTACTTTTTTAAATAGCAACAAATATTCAGATTCAGTGTCAAGGAAATGTGGACTTAATATGTGTGGGGTTTGTTAACAAGTCATTACCTGTCTCTCAGAACGAAGGCTAATCTGGGGTGAACCACACACTCCTGTGCTAACCATGTCCTGTTTCCACAGGTATCCTAAATCAGTGTCACAAAACTAAGGCATCTTTAACTGAGGCTGTTTCGAATCCCCAGTAACAAAAAAAAAAAAAAAAAAAAAAAAGGAGGGAAAGAAAATAAAGGAAAGAATTGATACTAGTTGGTGTAGATCTCTTTTTTTCCAACCTCTACTCCTAAATTTATTATAGTATTTCAAAAATGCATGCTTTGTGTAAAGGCTTGGGATGGAGTTTACACTACTCAATCATTCAGGAATACAAAAAATGCAGTTGTGGTTGTTGTTGCAGTGGGGTTGGTCACCTCCCTTCCTCCAGCAGCTCCTGCAAGGGCAAAACCCATATGCCACTTAGTGATCCCATGATTTATTGCAGGGAGCTCACGTGGAGCTCATAACTGCAGTACCAGCTCCCAGGGATATTCCTAGCCTTGTACTTGGGCTTCCCAACCAACCAATGGCACCCTTCACATCACTTTCCCTTCAGGTTAAAAAAAGTCACCTACGAGCTGAGGTCTCAGAAGGGCAGAAGTGTGCTCATCAAAGGGCACTTCCCCATAGCATGTTTGAGTTGTTCTGCCGGGAGAGGCTCAAAATGTCAGCAAAAGGTACTGAGCTTCCAGCTCCCTCTTTTCAGCTTTGTGTTTACAGGAGAAACTTTACAACTCTCTTCTAGATGAAATGCAAGTAGCATGGGAGAAAGGCAAAAGGACCAAACCAGACCAGATTACAAGTGTCATTAGTTGTCACCTGCCTCTCGCCACTTCTAGTGGGCAGGGAGAGAAGGAAAGCTGCAGCAGAAAGACCAAGGCAAAACAAGCTTGTGGTCTGCATGTGAGGAAAAGGACCAAGAGGCACGAGTTCCTCCTACCAAAGCTGGGCAAGTTCTGCCCTATACCCGTTGGCAGCTGCATCAAAATTTGAGTCATTTGACAAGAAAGCAAATATGAACCAAACAGAAGAGGGCTGCCCAAGGGCACAGGCTCTCCCTGTGAGGAGCTGGGTCACACAGGTTCACATGATGTGAAGACAAGGCGTTCCTGATGACCACAGCTACTGGTCAGGACTGGATCCCAACACAGTTTCTTTTGGCAGACAGACACCCACCTGCAGAGCCATGCAAGGGCAGCACAAGGGCACGAGGCAGGATTAGACTGCTGTAGCAATTCTGTGTACAACAAGTGACAGGGCTGCAAAACAGAACTCTTACCCCTTCTGCAGTGTTCATCTGTCCTTGTCTTGGGCTGCACCAAATAACAGGAGACTGAAGTGGACTGTGAAGAGACACACACAAACCAGCTGAGGAACAGAGAGCAAACACCATCAGATGCATCCCATTCTGACTACAAAGAGGCAGAGAATAACCTGCACTCTGGTTATCAGGTCCTGAACTAACAAAAAGCCCAATTTCCAACTAAACACAGGCCTCGGCCCATCCGAGGTGGGTGAAGAGGGGCCCACAGGTAAAAATAGGTAAGTAATGTGAGAAGCCAGGCTCCTTCTACCATCTTCAGAAAATAGCATGTACACTTTTCTGCACAGTTCTGGGCAGTGTTTCTGCTTACCTGACCTGAGCCCTCTTCTGCTTCTTCTGCTCAGTCTCACTAAGAGTTAAAGTCTAATCAGAATTAAGGAATTTAAATAGCAGCAATCAGGCAACAGCTCAAAGCCAATCCTAATAACATGACTCAAACACCGCAGTCGCCTTGCTCACAGAGCAGAGGCTACCTTTTATCTTCTCATTTGCTCCAAATTACCGCTTAATTAAAATGAACTTATCGAGTTTGTCAGGCAAAATAGTTTGGATCTGTGTCAATCCCCTTATTGATTAGCATTACCCCTGCCTAGGGAGCTTGTTGGGAAATACACATCCATCCTTTGGAAATTCTGAAGACAATATGTGGTTGGAAAATATTGTAATGTGCCAAAGAACAAGCAACCCAAATTACAGCAGCCCCAGTGAGGCCTGAAATACAGCACAGGTGTGTCACCGCATGACACCCAGGGACAGGAAATCATTAGGCCATGTGAAATGATAATGAGTCCAACCCAGCATCTTCACAGGCAGAGCACACAAATGGTCAGGCACCAGGGTGCCGAGGCTCAGATCTGTTAGTAACAAAAGCTTTAATAAGGTAAGAAAAAAAACTACAGCAACTGAATGTTGTGGATAAAGAGCTCAGCCATCAGGTGACAGATGTTGTAGAAAACCACGGCATAGAGCAGGCAGGAAGAAAACAAAAAATCTCAATGTAAAGTGAAATACAGAATGGGAAAGAGGGCCAAGTTGGTGCTGAGAAGGGCAGTCTAGGCATCCTCACCTGGGGCTCTGACTCAATACCACGTGTCCATTTTGCTGCACAACACGGAGGTGGTGGATCAGAGTCTGGGATGCAGCCTTTTGTACATAGGACCCATTAACATCTTTGAAAACTCACTGCGTTCTTCAAACCTCGGTGCCACGTACTTCTGATGTCAGGATAATGGCCATGCCAAAAGTGCCACATTTGAAGTTAACAAGCTCAAACCCTGTTGAAAGCCAGGTGTGCATCCTCTCAGATCAGGCTGTAAAGGCAACTTCAAAAGTACAGTGCTCAAAAAGGATCCAGCATAAGTTCAGAAATGAAAGAATAATTAGGGGCTTGAAAATTTCTCACAGGAGGCAGGAATGGAAGATGGAGATTGATTATATTAGGGAGGAACTGCAGAAAAAAGACATGATATAATAATTAGAGGCATAAGGAAGATGACAGGAGCACTTGTCCTCCCTTTCTTGTAGCATACAAGGGCTACACGATGAAAATTACAGAATCCAAGGTCAGGCATTGTATGAAGTTAACTAAACAGCTGACCTTGTATAACCATCACAGCTGTCTGGAAGGGAAACAAAAATATGTGATGTGAGATTTAGCCAGACCAGAAGGTAGTAGTGGGGAGAGTGATGCCAAATAGTTGCAGATTAATTCCCTGCAAGCTCCTTCTTTTGAAGCATCTGATCCCGGCAGATGACCCCAGTCAAACTCAAGACCAGCTCAGCTTGACAAGCCTAAATTCCCAGAAAAACTTCCTGCCCCGTCATTGGGTCGGAATCAAAGACTGAGGCAAACCATGGGGGAAATCTGAGCAGATTTTAGTGGGGCTACCGACACACAGGGTGTGAGGCTTCCCTAGGAGACTGGTCTCTGAATGAAGAGCCACAGCTCACCCACCATTGTGCAGCAATTCCTGACTCCTCTCCAACACACATACCTCAAACATCAGCAATGCTGCCACATCATCTGGGCAGACTAAGGTACGTTTCTTTCTTCACAAAAAATACGAATTGCCATTAAGTTTTTAACCAATACATTGAGTTTGATTCTTTAAAAAGTTTTTGCTGGTGATAACGCTAAGAGACTCCAAACAATATCCCTCTTGAGGCCAGTTTGCAAGGTAGCAGTAGGATTGATTACAGCAGTCAGTCACCAAAATGCTTTCTTAAAAGTCAGAATCCAACCAACACCAGTTGTACTTGCTGTGAATGCTGCACAGCTGCTCAGAAATCCAGCCAGCTGTAAAGCCACTTGAGCACCTGAGTACCATCAGCAGAATCCAGTACAAGATAACCCTGGCAGAGGCCTGTAAAATTCTACATCAAGTGCAATCACAGTGACTTTTTTTGTCCTAAACAATTACACACAAGAACTGCCAAATTATCTTTGTGCATTGTTTTAATGAAGTAATCCAGCTCATTTCATATGTAATAAATTCATTAGGCTTTGGGGTTTTGTACAATATCAAGTATAATATAACAGAATTCATTTTAATACTGTTCTTTTTGCAATTAGTAATTTTACAGTTCTGTAAATGTGCTTCACTGCTCTGTCTGAGCTCTGAAGGGTTTGGCTTGGTGAATTCATACTAGCTTCCACCACACATTTTAGAAGGTAGTTTGCTTCGATGCCTGTAGAAACATGACACAGGAGGATCACACCGCCAGCAGGTGATCGCAGGCCCTCGCCCTGCCCAGTCCTCGGCACCTTCTGCCTCACCACACGTGAGAAAGCTGCATTGCATATCAGAGCTCCAGGTCCTGCAGGTCTCCCCAGCTAGGTCCAATTCTCACTTTAACATTCAGCTTTACCGAGAGTTTGATGGCATTTTCCATCTCGTGCTTCACAATCTGAGCAACCTATAAGGAAACATCAACCATGAGACACACATGTAACTTCAGTGCTTTGGTTTTCTGTCAACAACTGGGGTGGACAGACACCTGGAATCCTCTCCTGCACTGACTTACCACCAGTGGGAATGCAACTGAACATTTTAATCCTGACTAGGGTTTATGAATGGAGAAACTGTATAAAGCCAGCAAGATTTTATGCAGCACACGGTTGTGACTGGTTCTGCACTGTTTAAGACTGCTTAGAAAAGAGGCAAGATTAACTTTCTATAAAACACTTGAGTGTCCTGCAGTCTCCTCCTTCACCCACCTGCATAACTATTTCATAGAGTCTGTTCTGAAAACTTAAACATACTGAAAGCAAGACACAAAACAAATACACCAGAAGCAAAGAATGGTGGCTCCTTCGTGCTATGCTGGCAAAAGAAGCCCTCTGTGAAACACAAACTATAAATCTCTGAGAAAGCAGATCACATTCAATGCAGGTGCTGGAAATACTGCCCAGGGCCCCCCTCACTGTTTTGTTGAGGTAACTCCTGCCCTCTAGTAAACAAGTGAGGTAACTGTTCTCTGCCCTCCAAAAGTATTCCTAAAAAAAAAAAAATTCATTTCAGTACACAGCCAGGGAACCAAACAGTTCTTTCTGCAACTATTTGAATTATAAGAGACTGGATTTTTTTTCCTGACTGTAAAAACCTGCCCTGGATAAAGGGACTCTCTTTCCTACCCCAAGACCCACACAGAATCCAGCTTGTCCTGGATTGCTTATTCGAACAAATCTTTCAATCCACACCCATCCGTGAACCTTCCCACAGCAGAGTGAAAAAAGGCTTTGAATTTATGGTGATTCCTCAGCTCAGCTAGAAGCCACTGTGTCCATAGAGGAACTATTCAAGCTTTCTGACCCTTCAACACATTTTCATTTCCTCACAGGTACCTACTGTAGAAATTTCTCCATAGTTTTTTGCTCTGAAATGGAGGAGAGGATTTGAGGAGATCAGAGCACAAGAATTTACAACAGCACTAAGAACTAGGGGACCATTCTTAGGTGGATTGCCTTCCACGGCTGACGAGCTCCACCTGCCCAGGGGGCCGGGAATCGAACCCGGGTCACAGCGGTGAGAGTCAGACACTCTAACCACTAGACCACCAGAGGCCCCTAGGGTAGAGAATTAGGACAGAAATAATCTACTGTTCAAAAATAGGATGAAAAATAACTGCCTGGGCAGGAAAAAAATGGGGTTATCAGAGATTAAAAACTGAGCAGGGCTTAATCAAGGCACACTACTGTGAAAAAGCAAGCAAATGAAATTCTGGATCACAGAAAATGTTGCTTGCATGATGCACAGATCAATTTTCCACTGTATTCAAACTACTCCAGCCTTGATCAGGTTGGGCCCCAGTATGTTAAAAAAAAACATGAACCATACAGAAGGGGATTCTCTGAGAATGGTCACAGGTCCAGCACACAGCACCAGCAAAGAGCATCAGATGAGGGCTGCTGCACCTAGAGCCAGGGACAGTAGCTGTGCTGCAGGGGAGACATGAAAACCTGCTGTTTCAAGTGATTGTTCAGAAAATCTATGGATAGAAATATACCCAAAGGAAGTTAGAAAAAGTGGTAATAATTGACCTTGAAGTTGAGGCTGTTAATGAAAAAAATATAATACAATAAATGATAAGTAAATCCACTCACCTGGCTCCAGTTCTCCTGGGGACACCATGATAACCTGAAGTCAGTATCTAAAGATGTAAAAGCCTATATTCAGGGAATCTCAGTTTTCTACGGGAAAAATATTAGGAGCCTTTTCATCTCTCAAACAGCCTGCCTAGACTGAAGCAGTAGATGTCTGACCAAAGCTGTCAAAATGAGCAAAAGCTCAAGATGATATTCAAGAGAAAAATATTAAACCTTTTGTTTTTTTATATATATATATATATATATATATAAATATTACATATACATTGAAAGCTTTCTCAGACTAGGAGTTACTATTTGCCATCAGGAAATGACCTTTTGTCATTAAAGATGTGCATGAGTAGAAGTGGAAGAAACATATCCCCAAGATATGAAAGCATGGCCAGATAGCCTGTGTTTGTGCTCAGGACTTGGGAAACCACTGAGCTGCCAGCACATGGTTAGAACACTTGCCACTGAAAGCTGTCACACAGACACAAAAAACCTCTGTGCCCAGGCACAGGAGTGCCTTCAAGGAGGAAGAGCACATACACAGGCAAATATGCACGTGAAAGGCACCTTAAGTCCACACAGCACATTTCTTGTTCCTACCGTGCTGCCAACGAGCACCATACTGCTCCTACCAGGAAGACAGGTAGGGAATGAGGAAACAAGCACTAAAAAACCAGAATCTTCCTTTCCCTACAAAGAGTACAAACCACAGCTGTAAAAATACATGTTCTGAGTCAGGCACCAGAGTGTAAACAGGAAGGCAAAAATACCTCCAGATGAGGAAACACTTTCTCCTACACCTGTCAAAAGTACTAAGCTACTTCACTCATCAAGCCTTGCAGAGAAGTTGAATGATCTGCTGTTATAAGCAGCAAAGCACAGTTGAAAATGAACTTCAGTCATGGGGATGGCTTGAGTCTGAAAATGATGGTATCAAGCATGGAATCATATTTTTTCACCTAATTCAACTTGGTTTTCACAGACCTTTCAGCACCCAGAGAGAGGGGATCCAGGGAAGAGAACATAAGCTCCTAGAAGGAAAGTTTGTTTGAAATACTGTCATGCAGCAGAGAGCTGAAAAAGCGAGTGCACAGCTGTACCTGGATGACATCATCCTCTGCAACTTCATAGAGGAGCTCATCGTGCAGTTGGAGGATAAAGAAACCTCCGCTGATAGGGCGTAACATCCCCGCATTTCTCTTTCTCGACAGCCTTCCTACCATGTGAAGAGCAGAGTTTGTTAGATATGATGATGCAAAAGCATGTTTCTTGTATCAAAAACCTTTGCACATCCCTAATGCCGAAAAAAAGAACATGAGGAACTTAAAACTTGAAAAGCCCATGCCTACCACAAAACATTACTATTCTATCAATAGTTTTATAGCTGAGGGAAAAATGTTAATGAAAAGTATTTGAGACATAAACATTTCAGCCTTACATTATAAAGATATGAATCAGAACAAAACCAAGAGACAGTTGTGTCTCCTGAACCATGTGTTTTAAAAGTAAAGTTCAAACAAAATCATGTCAAGTTTAATCAGAAGCTGGTTTACAACATTCTCTCTGGCAGTGAATTAGGATTCTGCTTTTCTTCCAGAAACATTTTAGTGGCTAGTCTAAAAAAGCAGTAAGTCTCCTCCCAAATGCAGTTTCTGAAACTGTAGCTACTGAGCAAAACAGAGGGGGGGGAAAAAAAGAGCAGTTATTGAATAAACAAGTAAGCAACTGAAAAAACCAGGATCCTGATAGGCCTTCCCTGACAAAACATAAAACAAACCCTTCCATGGTAAAAACTGTTGATTTTTTACAATAAATAAATACAACCTCACACACACAGACTCAAATGTTATTTATTTCTCAGGTTAGCTAACAGGAGGACTTCATTTCACAGAGAGGGTTTCAAAGCATCAGTTCCTAACACAAGCCTCACACTGAAGCAGCAGTGTTGAAGAAGCCAGATGATGCAGGATGTTCCTCTGATGGCCCAGGAATTTCTAACTTGCTGAAATAGAATTTCTTCCAGTTCTTCAAACACTTAGTATCAGTGTCAGGAAAAAGTGTTACAAAGGCATCTACTTGCCTTCCTACAATCACATTGGCCAAAGTTCAGTAGCTGCAGCTCCTGGAGGCTTGTGGAGTTCTGCCAAGCATAGGCCTTCTAATCATAGTTGACTTTTGAATCTTGTCTCTCCAAAATAAAACTCCCTGATGTATTTTTAGAGGTTTGGCAATTAATTATTTAGTTTACAAATCAGACTCTTCATATTAAGACAACTTCATGTTTCAATTGAAGCATAAGAACTATCAAAGAAATATAACACTCCATCTCTTAAGTTGTCTTTCTAAAAATATATGACTGGTGAAAAAACACTGTCTGCATTACACTAAAAAAAAAAAGTTCTTCGTGGCACTCCCCTGGGAATGAGCACCGCAGCACAGCTTTGCTATCTGCAGCCAGGAAAAATTTATGCTGATAAGTGCTTCATATAATACACCCGCGGAGCCTCTGTATATCAAATTCCAGCCAACGAATTCCAGTCTTAATTCTAACCAAAAAATGTATTTTTGGAACTAGAAGTTGTTCCACTCAATCTTTTCACTGCCTCTGAAGCCAGAGTATCTGCTCAGTTTCACCTTCCTACTTTTGAACAATTCTGTGGTGGCATCACAGACCACATCACACATGAACTCTTACTGCCAACCTTTGCAGGATCTGCTCTGAGGTAATTTTAGTGTTCTGACCACAGCATTTGTTTTAGTCTGTGTGTTGAGCAGACATTCTCCCTCCTTCGTCATGACTTCTTTCTACTGAACACAGATTTACCACTGTCAGGAAATAAAGCATCTCCCACCCCTAGGTCCAAAGGTACTAACTTTTCTTCAGGTTTGTTTTTTTTTTTTAACATTAGTAACACTGAAAATTTTGCTCTAGTGTGCAAAGGAGAAGCAAGCATACCGGTTTTATCTCTCTGGAAGGAGTTCTCCAGATGTCCATGGGACTTGATCACAGAGGAGTAAGCTTCCAGGCGTCTCTGAATGTTCACAGTGGCTGTTTTGACAATATCTGCAGCAGATCCCTGAACAGTTGTATTCACAGCCTGTCGCTCTGCCTGAACAAAGATAGTTGTTCTCAAAACTCCAAAAAAAAATCAATCAAATACAGCATGTCATGTGTACTTAATTAAAAATAATAAATATATAGCCAAACACAGGCATAATAAAACTTCCAGATAAAGAGTTTGTTCTATCTGCCTGAAAGAAAGACACATTATAGACTAGCTTCAGACACAAAATCTCTTCAGAGGACTGAGAAAAGGATTTCCACAAATTTAAAATTAATGAATATCAAGGGTAATAAACTGCAAAAGACACAAACCACAAGAAGGAGAAGCTTATACACATGGTAACAGTTTCACGAGGAGTAGAAAAATCTCACAGTTAATCCAAGCACCACAACACTTCTGCCTATCTTCAAAACCATCAGGAATAGATAACCAAAGGCAAGAAGCTGGACTTCATGGACTAACAATCTAGTCTCTACATTGAACTCTGACTGTCGGAGCATTATAGCTGTGCAAAAACACACCAGATCACCATTTTTATTGACACAAACAACCTCTCTACTAATCCTCTCCTCAGACAAGAAAACTGTATTCAAAGGTTCTCCTCTCTTTGGTTAGAACTGAAACACGTTCAAAAAGTTATGAAGATGCTGAAATGAAAGTGTAGATAATTCATTAATTGCTCTTTAATATGATTTTAAAGAATAAATCAAAATTGAAGAGAAGATGCATCTACAAAGCTTCCTGCTGAAGTATTCTTCAGATCAAATAGTCAAATAGTTTCAAAAGGTTTTTGACAGCCTTCTTGTTTCCCTGTCAACTATTTGGAGTATCAACTCACCCACTTCCTCCCTCTTCTAGTCTTTAATTCCACACAACCTGATCCAGCTTCCTACTTAGAAGTATAATCCTTCCTCCCCACAAAAATGCACCAACATCTCCCCAGGGAGTCAACTCACTCTTACTGAAGTAGAGTCTATGACAGACATGTCCAAAATGACCTTGAAAAAAAATAATGCCAATGCAAAGGTATATACTAAATAAATATCTGCCTAACAAGTTAGAGCAATTTTCCTTTGAGGGAAAGTAAGAAAAGGAACAAATACACAAAAAATATAGGACTTAAATGCCCTTTCTTGTTCTAGAGCTGACAGCATGTAACATACAAAGACTGCTGAGTGGGAGCAACTCAGCTTGAAGAGTTAAAGCATATCACTGTGTGAAGGCTTTTTAAAATCATGTCCACTGATTTCAATAAATTACTCACTTCCTTTTCCAACGTGGGAGTTCTGAAGTGAGGTTAGCACAGTGATGACAGCTGCACACCCAGTCACAGAAGACTGACGTCAAACAGACCATGACAAAAGCTCTGTTATTCAGAGAACAACTAAGGGAACAATGAACTAAGTGAGAAGTGGAAGGTCATGACCAAGATGGCTCACAAACCTTGTAAAACTGCAGATATGGCTACGCAAAGAAACCTACTACTTTAAAAATAAAATTAAAAAAAAAAAAAAGGCACTGCACTCAACATACATGAGCTTTACTGTAGGGATTTGGATCTTTGATAGCTGGCAGGTATCGCCGTCTTCCCAGGATGGTCTGCACAAACCCATCTCTTCGGCAGCTCCGCACGGTCTCCCTTAAGAACTTCTGAACCCCTGTGCAAGGAAAGAGAAAGTTTTCTGTAATACAGCTGATGTTCCATATTGACTTCTCACTGGGATCATTGAAAGCTGCCTGGGACACCCAAGCAGCACAGAGGTAATTCTTTAAATTTTCAAGAGCCCATAAGTGGACAAAAGCACAGGAACACTCATTCAGCCTATTTGCAGCTCTGCTGCAAAACTTCTCAGACTTTTGAGGTGGAAGGGAGTGCATAGTGTCAGGATATCTGGCTGTGCACAAGGAGGTAGGAAGTCCATTCCGCACAGTGCCCAGGCATAGAGGGTCATATATGTATTATTGATAATGGAGAGGTCAGAACCTGGACCAGCACTGGAAACACAAGTAGTAGGAAGAGAGTAAAGTGAAAGCAGAAGTCAGAGCCCTTGATGCCTCAGGCTGCCTGACTTCAGGCTGTGTCACTTCAGATTCCAGGATGAAAGAAACTCACCCACCTGCACTTTGCAAAGGAAGGAGTGTTAAAAAGAAACTAAGGTCAAAGAAAGGTGAGACAGGAAAGAGTCCCTTTCACTAGAAGTTCTGGAAACAATTGTACTAAAGTGGGAAAAGTTAACTTCATAAAGGTTCTTTCGAAGTTTACAAAGTATAAAATGTAAAAGGAGCTATTAAAAATCAAGACTGATAGCATTAGTCAATTCATTAGGTTTATAAATTAGCAGGTTAGCCTGGCAATACCTATCAAGTGAAAATCCATGAGAAGTGAAGTTACAATATAAGGTGCACTGCAGAGTTTGTATGTATGCACATGTACTGAGAGAGAGGAAGCAGAAAGTCATTTCTAATGGTCAGAAAGGAGAGGCTATCCAGAAATCAATGGAGACTAAACAGACTCTTAAAACCATTCCTCAGCATCTGTCTCCTAAAGAAACAAACCCTAAATCTTCAGAACATAATTTTCCAGCTCATTTCCAAGTTCTATGATTAGAGCTAGCTGCCTCTTGTCCCATTTGCCCTCCATTCGTTTTCTGATTGCAGCTCTATTCTCACTATAGCTTTCCTAAAAATTAACATGCTTCTTAGAAATGCAACAATGTCTTTTTACAAAACAGGGGAGAGCTCCTCTGAGCAGCTGGATAAAAATTTAAGAGTTATATGCAAAACAGTTTACAATTCTATGAAAGCAGAAGGCAAGAGCAGAAGAAATGATTATATTTAAAAATTATAAGAAGCATGGTCTAAAGTTGCATTGCATATCATTTGAAGGTGCGTGCTTTAATAAGGAAAAGCATGCTTCTTATTCAGAAAGTTGAGCTTTAAAATTACTCTTCAGGGCTTATTCGCTAATTAAAATAACAACAAAATAATTAATGTAATAAGTAAACAACAAAGTCCTAAAGGTGAATAAAACCAGAGAGTAGAGTAAAACATTATGGAGTATCAAACTGCTGTGTTCATGCACTGGACATTTTCAAAATTAAAAGCTTTTTCAAGACATAGGATTAGCAGGTTGAGACAAATTTAGGATTTGAAGAGACATGGAGAGAAGGAATTAAAACCAACAACTACCATCACCACCCAGCTCCCAAACTGCCATATCCAAACCTGTGTATCTTGCTTTGAAGGATTCAATGTAATTGGCAGCTTCATTTTCATCAATCCCCATCTGCTCGCCTAAGGATTTTGCTCCTATGCCATAGATGATTCCATAGCAGATCTGCCAGAGGACAGTGTGAAGAGCCACAACCATACGGTGAGCCATGCAGAGAAAGCAGAGCAAAAATGAAATGTGATTCACTGGAACACAAGTGTATGGAAACAAGGGCAAGTATTCAAGAAGAGACCACCTTTGAGTCCAAGCCATTCATGCTGCTGTAGCAGGAAGATTGTCGAAACCGAAACCAGTACACTGCTGAAAGCTCAACAAAACAATATTTATTCAATATTTATTACAAAGAAGTAGCCAATAAAACAAGAAGCAGAGAAACAAGAAAGAGAAGGGAAACAAGCCCCTAAGCCAAGCCCCGACTCGCCCAGGGGTTACTTACGAGGTTGTCTTACCAACCCCAGAATGCTTAGAATTCCCCATAGCAGAAGCTGCATCCTCAGAGCATCAGCAGCCTCACAAAATGGCGGGTGTCCCCACCAAGGCAACGTTGTCCTCCATGTGAAGCCTGAATTTGCTCCCAGCACGAGCTATCTGGTTTTTATACAATTAACCTGTGATATCTACCTGGGCAGGTGCGGCCAGCACCGCCCAGCTACAGGTCTTCGGTCCCTCCCCCCATTGTGTAAGTGGTGCCCCTTCTGCGCACGCGTGTGTACATTGGAATTTCCCTGTGCCTGCGTGCTACACCTTGGGGGGTCTTTTCTAAATGAGTCTGGGGGCTTACTTCATCACCCTCCTCTTCACTTTCTTCTTCAAGTGTCCTTGGAGAGCCATCGGCCAATAGTGAGGCCCCAATTAATTATAGTTTATACAAGATGCTCCCTTCAAGGACAAAGTTCTCGTCTATCAGTGCTTGTTTTCACATAACTTGGCAGGAAAAGAACAGACTCTCACAGGTGGCTGGGCCAAAACACAGACCAAAAATAGCAGTGCCTAATTAAGCATGAATACAGTTGCTTTACTCCACCCTCATCCCCCAAAAACCTGACAGCTCCAGTTGAAATGCACTGGGAGTGGGAGAACATACAAAGCAACTACTGAGCAGTCACGGTAGAACTCAAACAAAAAAACATACTATTGTGACTCCACAATGTGTTGAACACTGAATCTTCTTGCCCAGAAAGCTGCTACTGAATTTTTTTCCCTAAAATTACCTGTTTAGCTTGTTGCCTGGTCCTATCTCCAACAGCTTCAGGATCAATCATTTTCCATTCCGCTGCAATGCTCTTAAAGACATCAGTACCACTGTTCAAGGCTTGAATGAGTCGACAGTCACAAGACAAATGAGCAAGGATCCTCAGTTCAAGCTGAGAGTAATCGGCAGCCAAGATTAAGCCACCTGAAGCCAAGAAGTTACCAAAAATCATTATTTCATAAATTACTCCAACGTTCCATTCAACTTTCCAGCAAGAAGGACTAAACTTATCCTTCATTTTCTGCTCTGAAAGTTTCCCACAGCAATTTCTATCAGACAAATTGTTGCCTTTTTCCCCAATGCTCAGGCCCGCCTGCTTTATGTCTAGTCCCTACATCTAGAATCCATCAAAACCGCATAAACAGGTATCTGTCCAGGTGTCTGAGCCAGCGCAGGCAATGTGAGAACTGACACTTGGATAGGAAGAACACCAGGTAGAGTGCAATTTGTGTATTAAGAGCTGCCTAAGCTAACTCTTTAAAAAACAGATATCGTTAAAGAGGAAATGAAAGTGTGAACACGTGAATTATAACATTTGAATACTTTCCCCAAATGAAACTCTCTCTTTTACAATCTTGTGAATAATTTTGAAGGCATGCTTTTCCAAGTAGGCTGCTCAGACAGATATGTACTGTTACTAATTTTTAACTCTTCATTACATCCAGGATCTTTTGTTAACTATATACTTAAATTACAGAGCAGGATCTAGGCATTACCTGGGAAAGGAACAAAAGCATGTCTCATGCTAACAGAAAATGGTATTCCTCTTTCTTCAAATCTGTCTGCAGTCTGGAACTTTAGCCCATTAGGCAAAATACTGGAACGTTTTCTACATCTGTGGAGACAAAGAATGGTTGCTCTTCACCAATTTCTAAACCACTAAGAGACACATAATCATTTTTGCCACAAAGAATCAGTGAAAACGAGTGAGGCAGTAGCGTCTATTCCATTCTTCTGGACAATCCATACCTAAATTTGACCATGGACAGAGACCAGATAAACACCTGAAGGGATTTACTGACTCTGAAAAGATTTAGGGATAGATCTTCCTAGTACATTCAGGATTCAGTTCAGAAATTGGATAATTTCACTCTAAAAGAGGTAAGATGAATGGCCCCAGATCTGTGATAAGCGTATTCAAGAAAGAGAGCGAAGGAATCCTACAGGAATCCTAAAAATTCAACACCCCACCTTGAGGGCAAAGTTTTCTCTCAAAATCTTTTTTCTATGCAGAATGTAAACATTAGCCCATACCTAGTAGAGACAGAATAATTTCCCCCATAATGTCACTCTCACTATGGCACACACAGGCAAGCCTGTAAAAATACAGCAGAAGTTGCAGAAGACATGCTCAAAAAACCACTGCACATTTCCTCCCTAAAGACCAAGGAAAAAATTGCCCCAAAGCAACTCAATTTTCTTTTCTAGAAGGCCAGAAGTTTACAGTGTCACCCAGGTGTTCTGCATCCTCTCAGGGCTTGCTTAACTCTCCTGGCCCACCAAGTCACTTATAGCTGCAGATGGAATTGTATCCATCAGTGCACACCTCTGACACCATTAGTACCACCTAGTCCCACCAGCACGAGTCTACCAGTCCACTGGGTTCCTCCTTACCTTCCTTCCTGGAAGGTAAAAGCCCTTTATAAAGCCTTGCTGTTTAGGTCAGGGATCTGAGCAAATTCTTTATCAAAATTAAATGGTATCTCTAAAATCAAGACTAGTTTCAGCAAAGCACAGAAAAGATATCATGCTCTCTTCCCTTGTGCACTTCCTTTTCTTCTTATATGTTGTCATTTCAGGAATGATAGGGATCAATGAGATGAAAGATGGCATGACAGAAATAAATTTTCAAAAGAAATAAAAGTGAAGGACAATTGCATATCTGGGTACTGCAGAAAATCCCACTGTTCAGCGTAGGTTCTCATTTTACTTAAATGAGTAAGGGCTTTAAACTGTGACCTAATTTAGCTACACTGATTTGGTTAGAAGCTTTTTACAACAAGAGGAAACAATAGTAATAGTAAGATAATAGACAGTATGAACCAAAGCTTGCAAGGCCTGTTAGACTTAGGCAGCACGAGAGTTTCTTTTGTGCTAGCAGTCGTTTCTGTGCCCTTAGGATTGCCCATCTTGCTAACGGAATGGCTGCTTAACTAAGGAATGCAGGAAAATGTAGGAAAAGTCAGTCTGAGAAATAGACTCTCAAAGTTCAGCAGGCACTGCATTCCTTTGATGGGCTACTGCTCTACAGGGAAGACTCTCAAGAACTCAGCACACTCCCCAGCCATCCTGGAAAGCTGCTGCAAGCCTGAGCACTACAAGAGTTTTATCTCAGAACAACATTTCTGCCTCCATGGCTAGGCCTGGTTCTTCTAAAGAGAGATGGACAAGATCCTGCTACTCCTGAGCTCTCTTTCCATGACGCACAAGGGTGTTAGACACATGGTGGTAGGAGGCCCCAGACAGAAGAATCAAAAAGCTTCTCAAATTTCTCACATCTTGCTGAGGAGAAGAAACTTATAAAAGTCACTCAGGTGACACATATGTGACAAGAACCTGAAGGAAAGAGAAACTGAAAGGGCAGAAAACCACCACCAAGTATGAACCTCAAAGCTCACAAGCTAATTGCTAGAAGATTGACCTTGGTATTTCACCCAACTTCCACACAACGGTTTAGGCTTTGCTATGTAACGCTGTCAAAGCAGAATTGTAGAATCATAGAAAATAGGGCATTTGGTTAACAGAAACCAAATTTAGAAATCTTTTTCTGCTGCATGATAGCTTTTGCAGGTCAGTACGACAAATGAAATTATTAACAAAGAATGAAAAAAATGTTCACCCATGTTCCCTTACAGAGGGAGTTGCACAGCATAAACCAAATGAACTTTCTTCTGCTTCTTCCACAATATCCTATCCTATCTTCCAAGAGTAGCTCTTAGAAAGTCAAATTAGATCCTAACTTCAGTTTAGTTACTTTTCACACTCAGGCTTTCCACCCAAGAGCTGGGAGTATAACGTTAATCTCACTGTAGAGGGTTTCATAAAGAACTTTAAAAAGCAAATGGCTACATGGAACCACATGCTATCAGTATTATTATGTCTTTCATGTATCACTGATTTTTAGGTGTTTATTCCCCTGTACGTGAAACATTGAATAACAAGTCACACTGACATGACAGCAGCCATAGGTGAAGTCAGGAAAGAGAAATTTGACAACCTGACCACATTAGGATCAGAAGATTAAACAGAAGCTTTGCCAAGATCCTCCTACCTGCCCCCTAAAACACCACGACAATTAACATTTCCACGGGCTTGGGAGGGTGGGCTTTCTTCAACCACAGTTGGCATTTCAATCTCAAAATCTCTTGGCACATTCTGAATATTTGGTTCTGTGAAGGTTATTCGACCTGAGAAGGAAGACAAGACAGAACTAAGAAAGGGTCCAAGAGGAGTTTCTCTAACTTAACACAGCTGCACACTCTCTGCATCTCCAAAATAGAAGGGGCAGAAGGGCAGGACAGGACAGGACCACTGAGAAAACTGAAGAAAAGGAAAAATAATTTGGATTTAATGGGCTTGAGATGGTTCCCCATTTCTGTACCACTAATAAGAAACTTCCAAATCCAGAACCTGTTCTGGGGTCAGAGATTTACATGATAATATGTGTAATAAATGAATAATACCGCTCAGTGAATACAAAAGCTATTTTAAATACACCTAGGTTTTTAGGGACAATTCATGTCAAATAGGTATTTCAGTATTTTCATTTGGTTGAAGCAGAGCACAGCACTGATTTCCTATCTTTTTCCCATAGAAAAGCTGTACACACACACAAAAAGAAAAAAAAACCAGTAAGAAGTGAGGATTTTGCACATATTTCCTCACCTGTAGCTGTATGAGTCTGTGAAACTGGATATATCCTTTCCATTCCCAATGCAGAATTCAATCGCTTTTCCCTCTGTAGTGGAAACACCACTTTAGTAATGGCATTGTTGATCCTCCTCCATTCCAATATCAGGCCTGGCAATGGATGAAGTGTCTTTAATTTCTCCAAAACATCCTTGCGGGGAGAAAAGGGCACAATTAATCAACTGCCTTTTAAGCTTTATTTATAAAGTTTTTGCAGTTCTGCAGGAAAAAGGGACTCCTTCACCCACAGTGAGCTTCCAGTGTCACTGCCTTAATATTAAATAGATATCCTCTCCCCTTATACCACCTACACCTGAGTAATCAAAGCAAGTTTTATTACACACGAGAAGACAACCATTCTCTTTGGACTTCTGCACCCTCATCATCACTCTTAATCTGCACCAACCAATAAACCACCTGAAATGATCAAATAAAGCATCACTTGCCATAGATACCCTACGTTGTCTCCTCTTGTCCGGTATTAATGCTTCTCCTCCATCTTCTTGCATATTTTTCTCCCTGCTCTCTCCTATCTGTACACTAGGAATACAAAATGAAGCCCTTGACCATGCTCCTTGAAATAAAAAGCTGATCACTAGCAATCAAATCCTTTCAGCTTAATCAGAAATATGAAGGGATTAACAAGAATTTCAAAAGACAGTGGCATGTAAACATTTCTAGAAATAACATTTTTCGTATGCAGCAGGCAGCTGCAGCCTCATCCCTCCACATCACAGAAGGAGGAAATCTTCTCTTTGCTTCTTGTTCCCTCTCTGCCACCACCACTGCACTCAACATCTTCACTGCCACTTGAGTTTCAGAAATCAATACTTGTGTTCCAAGCACAGTACACTGAACAAGGGGAAACTAAGAAAACAACACAGATTAATGAGTCCTGAAAACAGGGAACATATATATCTGCTAATTTCACTTATCTGGCAAGAGCGCCCATTAGCCTGTAGCTGCAGGTATTAATGCAGGCCCACAATATTTATCAACTGGTAAGGATGTCAATAGCCTTCACATATATACAAGCTTCTGATATACTAAATTTGATAAACCATCAGATTAGCCATTCTGAAGACAAATTCTCTGAGGCACAAAATACAGATACGATAGTAGCAGGCAGGGAAAACATTGTATTTCATTGACATGGTATTTAAGTACCTTTCAAGCTGATGTCAAAAAATTCTTTTGCTACTGGTTTTACAAAATTATTGTACTATTTTGGTCTTACAGGTTATTTGGAAAATCAGATTCTGTCTGATTTATTCTTATTGAAGCTTGCCATTTATAGTTATGTCCTCACTATACTCAAGCTTTAGGAGAGGAGGAGTTACTAACTCTGCTAACAGACAAAGCAGAATCCAGTTTGAATTTCCAGTAGTAACTGAAGATGCAACAGACAGTTAAAATCTACTTTCAGATTAGAACCAGACACTACTGTACCTTGGTTGTACTCAACTGCTTGCTTAATCTAATCCTGTTTCCTTTAGCAGTTGCTCTTCTGGTGTAACCCAGAGTTTTCTTGTTCCCTTGAACCTTCACATCTCCATTTTGTGGCAACTTCAGTTCCAGGAACAACACCTGCAAGAGACCAGCATTTCAAATCAGTTTCTGCATCCTGTTCCCAGGAGAGAAAAAAAGCAACAGAGCACTTAAACAGCTTGTTCCAACCAAAGGATAGTACAAATGCTTCAGGTAATTAAAAACCTGATTAAAGATCCCTGCTATCAAAGTCATTCCTCCTCATTTTAATTAACTACAAAATGCAATTTAAAATCTCATTTTCTGAACACTATAAGTTTGAGTTCAGAGGTATGTTTTTAGAAAAGGTAATTAACTCCATCCAATAAGTGAGGTTACTGCTGACAGTCAACTGTAATAAAACATAATGTCAAGATGACTAAAAATGGGAAGAACAATGGTGAAAAAACAGAAGTGTTAGCAGAGAGCAGGTTTCAGAGAAACATGAATGGCATGGAGGGAGGTGGTCACAAATGCCTTTTTAGAATAGCTAGAATATTAGATTTTCTTACAAACTGCCAAAAACTGGAAAATTAAATATACGCTCACTTGGTGACAGACAACACAGCTCTTCATTTTTCACTCTGTGTTCCTATGAAGCATCATACACTACTTAGCAGCTATTGTGTTTCATTTCACAGCTGGCAGAAGGGAATAGGAAGTTTCTCTCACACATTTATGTAGCACAGAAATTTTACTGACACAAAACTAGAAGGGTAAAGTTCTACTAACCTACACAAGATACTTTACACAATTCGTAACAAATTTCCACATGAGAAACTTCAACCCTCTGTAGTTCAGAGAACAGCATTTGAGAAAAAACTTCCCCTTTTCCATGGAGAAGAGTGAAACTGAAGTCAAGCATTATGTCAGGAGTTCTAACTTAGACAACTGTTACTGAGTAAGACTTCTACATTTGCAACAAAGGAGGAATATTTCTGTGGAACTTCTTTTACTGATGGCTGCTTGCAAATTTTGACTACTTCCATATAAGGTATAGCCCCTAAGCAAGAAACTAGTACATAGGAAAAAAATGGGGGGAAAAAAGCATGCACAGCAATTATAATCTATTCCAATGACTCCATGTAACCTATATTAAAAAATATATAGTGAAATTCTTCAGGAATAAAAGTATTGCTCATTTACACAGAAATCTGTTCCTTAGATTTTAAAAAAAAAATCAGTTCTATACAGGTTCCTAAAAGCAGACAGTAGTTGATTCAAAACTTTTAAAGCAGTCTTTCCTCCTCTTTCATGCTATATAGGGACAAGGGTAACAATGCAACTTAGTGAGTACAACTATTCTTAAGAGTCAAGACTACATGACATCACATCATACCTGATGTGCAGAAGACTGGTATTGCAAAAAAGCTTCTCCAGTCCTGAACCACTCATCCAAAATATTCCAAAAGCCATTTAATTGGCAGATCATCTCATGTGGCATGAGAAACCAAGGTCCTACACAAACCTCAGGCTTATTTCCACTTGTTTTTTATTTCCACTTCTATCTTCTTTATCTCTGCTAAAGTTGGCAGAATGGTCAGTAACAAGCAGGAGAGACACAGCCTCTTGCAGGCAGCAAAGCCTCCAAAAGACAAATCTCTGAGCAGAGTTGAGTTTGCGTTTTGTCTTTTTTTCTTATGCAGTCTGCCCAAGAATTTTTTGGGTTTTCATTAGTTTTAGCCAAAGACCCTTGAGAGTAACTTCTGAGAAAGCTCTCTTCCTTGCACCCTAACCCTCACGTACCTCTGCGATGTCATCAGGGCTGGTCAAGGAGAAGCTGTGGCCTGCCAGCTGATACGCCTTGGTCTCAATCTCGCTCAGTTTAGCTTGCATGACCTGTTTCTGAGTTTCATACGCTGTTGTGCTAAAACCAATGCCATTCAGCTCCAGCAGAGCTAAGCAATAGTGGATGGGCATCTCCACTTTAGAAAATACATCTGTAGTAAGCACAAACCCCAAGAAAAACTTTTATAAAACAGATCAACTGCAGATCAACGGATTCATAAAAAAAAAAATTGGAGAATGTACAGTTTTTAAAATACTGAATGTCGTGACAGACTGAAATCTTTTACTATAGATTTCATCTGAATACTTTTGTTCTTGGAATATTTCACATTCTTATGACAAAAGTGTTTAAGAAAACAGCTTTTGTCATTTTTTGTTCCAAGAAATACACATCTCTTCATATATCAACATTTTATAAACCACAGACATGTTTAATGTAAGGCCTTCTAACTTGATACACTTTCATTCCACCATCTACATCTTTCAAAAAGGTTCTAAGGTTTAGTTGTAAGAATCACACATGATGTGGTATGCTTGCAATAAAATACTTAGTGAAACTGGACCTTAATCTTAGACTTTGGATATAATTAAGGGGAAAGTATCAATGACCACTGATAGGTATGTGCTTTTGGGGGGGGGGTTGATGGCTTGTTTATAAACAGCAACAAGCACTCAGCAATTATTAGTGCAAACATCCTGGATCATTCATTATGGGATCACAAGAGTTTCATGGACATAACACATACATGGCAAACAATCCTATATGGGAAGGCCAAAGAGCAAGAAATCTCCTTCAGAACACATTTGAGGATTTTAGCAATTGTTTCTGACAAGGAAATGCAAAAACTTTTGAAAATGTTCATGAGAAACCAGAGACAGACACACGAGTCCTCTCAGAATGGTCAGGGTACTCATTTGGAAGGTAGGGACCCAATTGATTTAGAGACTTAGAATAGACTCTGCTGTTGTCTTTACCAATGGAACTGGTGGACATTTGGGATATAAAAATTATATTTTAATTTGATTTTTTTTTTTTTACAAAACAGATATATTTCCAAGGGAAGTTCCCTCTTTTGACAAATGAACATTTTGACACAGATTATACTTAGGTAAGAACTTCCAAAACTCCTCTCTTCCACACTGATCATTTAGCCCATGGTAGCACAGGTACCTTTACCCTCCATCTTTGCCCCCAAGTGGAGAAGCTCTCCTCACCTGTCAGATTTTCCTTCTGTAATTCACTACGGAGTTGGTCCATGACACTGAAGACAAGCACAGACTCTATTGCTGCTCTGTACCTCCCAGAATGATCTCTGCTGGCACTGAGCCCCAGGCTCTGCACTCCTTGGCCAGTGCCTACTGCTTCCAGTAGAGGCAGCTCGTTGGGGAGAAAGTTAGTCACCATGTTGTGAAGCGTACGTTCCTTAGAGTCAGAATCGAGCAACCAACATGCAACCTTAAAAAGGGAGACCTCCATGAGACTTTTTTTTCCATTTCAGTCGTAAAACAAGACAAATATTTAGCTGGGGATTAATGCAAGGTTATAGTGCAGATAATTCTTCTTGATTTGGCAGGCAAACTGCAGTTAAAAGTTACGTGATTTCAAAGAAAACCTTCAAGAGGGCATAAGTCACTGAAAAGCTTACTTCTCACTCAAAGTTATTTCTGCACATTTGAAAACCTTATCCTTTTTCAACTAAACACATCTTGAAGTGTTGTCCTTGGGGTTTTTTGTCTATTAAAACCTAACACAAAGTGAATAAATATAAAAATCAGGATCAAAACATGCTTAATCTGAAAAATGACTTTGTAAAATCAGAACTTGCTATATGTCTAGAACATGAGCCAAGCTGAGCTCTCCTATTTTTTGCACATCAGCATTAATGCCAAGAATTCTGCATGGTGTATTTTACTCCTGGTAAGCCGCATACCTCTAACTGTCTTCAAGGCAATTTCATTTATAGCTATATTTCAATTTCTTGTGTCAAAATAGGATAAAATACAGGGTTCTGCACTGTCTCTGCCATTCAAGCAGAAGGTAAAAACCATATGTGTATATTTATGGGGTTGGGGAGGGTGTGTGTGTATGTATATAATCATTGCATCACTAAAATGAACAAACATGAGTATGACTTCAATTAATATGGAACAGTGCAGGGAAAGATGTTACTTTTATTACTCTTTAATTTCATTCTAAAACTATGTCTCAATATGAAAAAATCTATGTTTGTACTTGTGTTGAACACGTTAGCAACTTACCTGCAGAGTTGAATATTACCATGATGCTATTCAGTCTATGTGTGAGGCAAAACTTTAAAAATCAATAGAAATTTCTCTGCATCTAGAGTTTTCCTAACATGGACAAGAAGGTGCTTTTACCTCAATCTAGTGTTTCATTTGAGTTACAAATAGTTCCCAAACCTTTTGAAATTACATGTAAACTTTGTTTTCTTTTGAGAAAATAATGGTAGCAAAGTGGTCCATACACATGGTGTGTAAATCTTTTGCTTACCAAGTATCCTGTTCTCAGAAGCAATAATCTGACCAGAAGCACTTCTGACATTTCAGTCCCAGGCTTCTTATTGGAACAAAACAAGAGTTAAGCCCTGTTCACTGAGACAGGGGAGAGATTTATCTTCATCTTCCCCACCCAAGCAAGGTATAAAAGAATAGTGTGTTAATCTCTCACTGTTACTTTGTTTCTCTTGCAGGTACCATCAAACCCACATAGCAAAGCAAATGTCCTCTAAATACTGTTCAAGATCTCCCACAGGAAGAAAATTTCACTAAACCCTCTGACAGGTGTGCATATTCAAACATAAATAACAGAAGGAAAGTACCAGAAGGTACTCTTATCTTTCCACTGGTGTGTTTAAACTAGTAGTTTTACCCAAGCTAAATTTCTTAATCCTGCAAACCTTTGGGTCCTCAAAACTTCCTTCCAAGGAGATGCCACAAGCCATCAGCAGAGTTTTGTAGTGCTGAATGAAGTCATACATGATAAGTGACCGCTCCTGCTTGGGCTTCTTCTGCAGATACAGCTGCAGATGGTATAGTCTCTCTGTTACAGACAGGTTTTTGTCCAAAGGTGGTGGTGCCAAACTCATACTGATTTCTAAGGCAGGAAATACAAGCAAAAACCATCTTTTTACCCAGTGTGTGATAAGAAAGGTAAGAGAAAATCTCATATGCAATCACCTAAAGCACAAAAACTACAGTTTAAGTATGAACAAATAACAATATATCTATACTGACATTACATATTTTATCAAACCAGACAAGGCTCCCAAAAGCAATACATTGTGTCTGTACTAACAACAAAGGATAGCCAGGAATCAAACCCTAATCACAGGGCCACTTAGCACAGATTGGGCTATGTTCAGCATTCAAGTGTCAGATTTGTTCTGAAGAGCAAAAAATTGGAAGAGATTGAAAGAGAAAAGCAAATAAGATAAAGAGAACATAAGTGTAAGCTAACATTTTAGCCACATGCATGCTGACAGTCCAGTGTCTGAGCCAATTACCTGGCCTTATTACATAGCAGTATAGGTACATCCACAGCAACATGTTCAATGGTGTTTAAACACAACAGCTAAATTACTCCATCACACAACTGGGCTGGGTTCAGAGCACTCACAACATTGCCAAGAACCTATCTGCTGAAGGTACTTTCTTGAAATGCAGTGTCATGTAACCTAGCACAGCCTGTCCACTCACTTACCAGTCTGGTCCTGTATCTGCTGCAAAGAGATATAGTAGGCATCTTTTCCACCCCAGCACACTGCCAGTCCAACTACCAAGATGTCTTCATAGCCTTGGACAGGAAACCCATCATCTTTAACTTGCATCTGCTGAGGAGAACTCACTAAAGACATAATTTCAAGTTACAATTATAAAATGGCATTCATAAACAGGATCTTGGAAATGTAAATACATACAGCTGAGTCTAAACCTGAATATTGTTAGTCTCAGTAACGCAAAGGAACTGAGTGTTAGTAAAGGATGGAGAACTGATGTCAAGCATTTCCTTGATAGGTCCTTGGAGACGGTAAAGAAGTTTTAGCCACTTGTTGGTATGTGAGAGCATCTGAATATTAACATCTCATTGTGTATCTAATATTGAAATGGTTCTCTGTTGTGCAGTCCTTTTATCACGTGCACCATGTCATAAACAAGTTTTTGTATATTATAAAATGGATATTACATTTACCACTAAACATTACAGACTGTTCAGGGGCTCCACTGAGCTGTGCTACCTCTGTGATTGCTTCTGAACCAAGGTTAAATATTTTCAAATTTTTAAAATGTAAACTTGATTCAATATAAGCATATGTGAAATTCAGATCAGTCTCTGGATTGTTGCAATATTGCTTCATTTTTTCCCCCAAAAGTATTGATATGCTGTAGTTTGCTGCTGCCTTATAAACATACTCTTCCTTTAAAATGACAAGATTAAGCAGTTAGATTCATTGCTGTCATATTGCCATAACAACAACACTCCTTAACTATCAAAATATATTTTTGACAAACGTGAAATGCTTTTCAGAGTGGAAGGAGGGAATACATTTCTGTCTCAACTCTTGAAGAGGTTGCCAGGAAAGGCTAGAATTTGGAAGGGATGCTAAATGAGCAGTTCCACCTGAACATGAGGAAAAACCTATTTACTTTGAGGATGACAGAACATTGGAATAGATTGCCCATAGAGGTTGTGGAGTCTCCTTTCCCAGAGATATTCAAAAACTGCCTGGATACAATCCTGTGCAACCTGCTCTAGGTGAACCTGCTTTAGAAAGGGGGTTGATCTAGATGATCTCCAGAGGACCCTTCCAATGCCAAACATCATGTGATTCTGTAATAACAGTAATATCAGTAATTTCCCCCCCTTTTGCAAACTCTTTCCTTCTCTACTCCCGCCACCCTACTGTTCACAAAATAATGCGCTGGAACAGGGAACTGACCTTTTTTGAATTTGCCGCCAATCGTTGATTTGGGAGACAAAAGACATTTTGTTCTTTCGCATGCCACTGAGATGGAGAATCTGCTTTTTTCCTTCCATTCTGCAACGAAAGTCTGGAAAAGTGCTTTGTTGCTTGCTACATCAATAATAGTGAAACTTTCAGCACTCAAGGGAACAAGAGGATCCTGAGATAGCTGCAGTGAAAAGCCTTGGTCTATAGCAGAATCATCTTTTATCTCATCAGTCTCAGTTGGGTCTAGACTCCCGGTACTGACCTGGAGTGTTTTTACCTGCTGCCCTGCATTGCCCTCACTATTCTGCTGTGGCTGAATCATTTGTCCTTCATTCTTGCAAATGACTTGCCTCTTCCTTGCAGATTTCACAGAAAGAGAAAAAGAACTTTTTGGGAAAAGCTCTTTGGGAGGTGTTGGAGGAATAAATCCATTATTATTATCTGATGGAGGACAGGACGTTCTGCTGCTTCCCTTGAGCTGAAGTGTTATGACATCTGTTTTCTGAAGATGCAAGTTTTCTGTTTTGTTTTCTTTAACCTTGAAAGAGCTTTTTAAATCCTGGCAAGTGGGCAAAGGCTCTGGCTTACAACAGTCAGATTCAAAAACTAGATCTGGTTCTTGATTAACAATAGGAGAAACTAACTTTCCTTTCAAACAGGAACTTACTGAAACTGGTTCAATGCTTGAGGGACTAGGCCATTTGTCTAACACATCCTGCAATCCTGGGCTTAGTTCAAACGAGCAGTTAGTCCATACCACTGGATGGGGTTTCTTATCTAAAGTTTGCTGGCTTCTCTGGAGCTTTTCACCTTGATCTCCTACTAAATCCTTCAGTCTGGGGTCATTACAAATCACTGGGTTTATTAATCCTGACTGACCCTGAAAGGTAGCAGGAAGATCTTCCAGAAAAGATGGGGAGTTTCCATGACCTAAACCTTCAGCTATTGTATCAGAGGGTGCTAGAGACACATTGTTACACTGTGCAGGATTCTTGTGTTCTTGTTTGCCGCTGACATCAAATTTATTCTGAACAGGTCTTAGATTCTGCAAAAGACCATCTGGAGGAAGTAAAGCTTCTGGCTTCTCCACAGGGCCCTTTCTGTCAGCTTCCATGATGCAAACAGCTGAAAGGTCAGTGACATTACTGAAGCTATCATCAAATAGCAAGCTATCACTCATATTTAGGCTTGCTTCAGGGACAGGGTGGCATTCTATTTGTACAATGTGTTCCCTTCCAAAATGGGAGGTTGCTTTATTAAGGTCTTTAGACACATTCTCCCCTTTCACAGAATTTTGGGTCTGGTAATCTTGTAGAAAACTGTGTAGCTGTGAGTCAGTCACTGAGAAATCACTTTCTTTAAGGCAAGGTGCAGATTCTATTTCCTTCACTATGGGCTGTAAATTAAGGGCTCCAGACTCCAAAACTTGATTACTGCAGTGCTGAGTTATGTTTTTGGTAATGTTATTTTTTGTGATAAGACTTGATAAGCTCAGTTTCCTAGCTGTTGCAGCCACCCTTTCATCAGTAGCATTCTCAGTCCATAAACTGCTTAGGTTTTTGGAGATTTCCTGCCGTGGTATTGCTGCCAGCTCTGAACCTTCTATTCCCTGCTGTCCTGTGATTCCAGCTGCTATCTCCTGTTTTATTATCATCTCAGTTTGAGTATCCAACTGGAAACTGTCTTCAAAGTCTCTAGAGTCAGAAAACATATCAGAGGCTTGACCATTCTGAACATCATCTGCATTGCAAACACCTCTGTATTTTCCTAGAAACTCTTTCAGAAAAACCTTGGGATGACTATTGCCTTTCTGCAATGTTCCAGCTTGTTCCAATGTTCCATTGGGTTTTTCACTCCCATGTTTGCCACCATTCTGAATCTGAATATTGCAGATTTTATCCTCACCAGGACAAAAATGAATAGGTTTCTGTATCCTGCTGTCACAATGGACATGTCCACTTCCAGAGCAGCTCGCAGTTACATTACCATGATCTGTGTCTAAAGCCATCTCCTGCCTATCAATCCTAGCCTCAGTAGAGCTCACATCTGTTTGAGTTCTATTAATTTTATTCTGCTTATAATCATTATTTTCATTTCTCTGTGTCCTAGCACTACCGGATATGACTCTACTTCCTATAATATTATGTGTCTCCACACTGGTGTGTGGAGTACCCTGCAACATAACAGATGCCTGCAAACGTGCTCTCCCCTTAGGTATGCCTTCATTACTGGTGGTAGGCTCTGTAAATAATACTTCCATTTTATCTTTTCTCCCAGTCTTTATTTTGTCCATCTGCACAGAATTTGAGACTTCATGAGTTAAAGAATCTGTTTCCATAAATTCCTTATTATTTCGGTTTGAAAAAAAATTATCTGTAGAGATGGTGGGGTGGAAATCAGGTGGATTTTGTATGTCTATGCTAAGTATATTTGAACCTTCAAGAACTGACCTCCGCAGTTTTGAAGAGGTATTTTTGTTCCTAGTGCAGTTTAAATGCACATCTGTGCTTTTAATCAATCTAGAGGCTGAAGACTTTGTTCTCGATGTTGGTGTCTTTCCTTGTTCAGTAAGATGCTCTGGGATGGCTGTCCTGGAATCTATCTTGGTTTTGATTAGAGAAATTCCTTCCCTGTTTTCATTACCCGTGCATGTATTTGGCAGTTTTTTAGCACTGTACACAATATCACCCTTGCCTTCCTCTGCTCGAGCCTGTTTCTTGCCTGGGACTTCATTCTCACACCTGGAATTTTCTGTGCTACTGCTTAGCCGTCTTTTATATCCCTTTTTAATATTTGATAAGTTTCCAGTCTGCAAACCGAGGCCATTACAATGCTGAACTCTAAACTCTTTTTTGTTTAACACCCTTGAAGACTCAGCAGATTCCTCTCCATCTGACCTATGCAGTCTGTCTTCCAGTTCTGACTCACTGCTGATCATAGAGGATGTATCAGTCTCAAGAAAAGACTCTGGGTTCCACTGCACTCCCATCAGTGCCAAATCCTGCTGCAGCAGTCTCCTGGCTTCCTCCACAATGACAGAAGCTGCTTCTCTTTCAGTTAAGCCTTTCATTCCAGCCATCCAGATGCTGCGCACAGTCCGACGCTCCTCTGCCGATTCTTCATCTTCATCCACAGCCCTACGAACACTATGGGAAAGGTAACAGACAGATGTAAACATTCATGCAAAAAATAACAAACAACAGAAGAAGCTGGTACTATTCTGTTTTGCTCCCATTTCAATGGCTTCACAGCTTCCTTCACAGAAGCACTCTATCTAAAATATAATGCAATTAATGGGAAATAACTTAATTGGAAATAAGTATTTCAGTTTTCTAAATGTGAACGGATGTCAATGAAAGATACTACTGGCTGCATACCCCAGAATCACTGCCAGGTTTCTGTGTCCAAACATGTACCCTAGAAGTCCCAACTCCCTGCTAGGGCAAAATGCAGGTCTCCTCCATGAACTGTTTTCCAAAGGAAACTTTAGGAGCATAAACCAGACAATTACTACAGCACAGTCCCACAGGTATTTGATCAAGGAAGCTTGTCACTACATTAACATGAAAATCACAAGAGAATCTCAAAAGATAATCAGTAATAAATCACAAACTACTTTGATCATATGGTGCAGCTGCTTTTTAGAGGCAGCAAAAGCTCCTCAGAAAGCATTAACAATTCATCCAGGACTAAGTAGTGCATTGAAAAGAGGGATAAGAAGAAAATTTAGGTCTCAAAAACTTAGGCTACAAATAAAACATGTTTATATTAATTTCAAAATAATCATGGAATGACTGTGATCAGTCACAGAGACCTACAAGCTAATTCTAATGTTTGGCACGAAGTCCTAAAGGTTGCCATATTTTACCACAGGTTTCATCTTGTAATCCTTCACCCTACAAACAAACTCCTTTTATTGACTTCTGGACTTACTGATTTCTCACCTTTTGAATGGTACTGAATTCTTCAGAGCAGCTGCCACATCATCAGGACTGGCTTTAGCAAGATCAGCCACGGTGACAAAGCCAGCATTGTAAAGTGTCCTGGCACGCTGTGCATTCAGCAGAGATACTCGTACCAGGTCACAAAGCTCCCTATGAACCCCAAAAGTGAGGCGACTCTGGAACTGAGAGAGCAACAGCTCCATGTTGTGCCAGCCCAGTCGATTACAGAAAACTGTTATCATTCCTAGAACACAAAAGTTACATCAGTGTCTCAACTCCAGCTCTGGCCCTACTAAGCTGGATTCACTCCCCACCTCCCAGTCTGAATTGGTACTCACTTTACATTTCCCACCTTCCCATTACTTACAGAAACTAAATCATGCCTATTACAACTATGACTAGGAGCTGATCTTGCAGAACTAGTTTATCAGTGAGGTAAAAATTCTGAATTACACTGGTTTTACAAAGATGCTGATCCTGAAAGTGTGAAACATGTACATCCTGGAACAGGAGTCCTATGAAACAACCACACTGAAAAAAAGGCAATAGAAAAAGCAGTGATGAGAGGCACTAAGAGAAGCCACAGATCTTTGAGGAAGGCCAGCACTGATGTCCATAAGAGCAAATTGTGGATTACATAACTTCAGTTACTGAGAGCATCACAGGAGATAGCAAAGCCTATGATAAAGGTTACAACTGCTGTCCCCAGCGCATGGGAGAAGGAAAAGAGCTGGAAAAACACAGTTGCATTCTCACAGATTGAATCTACAGAATATGAAAATAACTGAAAGACATGGCATCCCTCACTATTTTTATAGTGATTATAGAATACAACTTTTATCATCTCTCTTAACTATATGTCATGTCAACAGTTCATATTACTTCCCAAATTATTTTTGTGAAAATTATTAATACTGGGAATAGAGAATTATGAAACTGCTACAACAAAAAGTTATTTATACTACCAGAATTAATTTAAACTACTCTGCATCAGTTGGCGTGACCTTTTCATTTTGGGGCTTTGACTCATGCTGCAACCCACACATAGGGTTTCGCAAGTTGAGCTAAAACTGTCTTATAAATTGAAAACCCACTTATGGAGTAATGGAGGACTTAGGCAACAGAAAAAAAATATCTCGGTGACATGGTGGGCTGATACTTCTACTCCTACACAGCCTAATTAAGGATGTTAAGTTAAAGGTGGCAGCTATCTGACCTCTTGTGATCTGGTGATAAATGACCCAGAAACTACTCACTCTGTTTCGAAAATTATAACCTTATACTTTCCAGTCAATTAATTTTGCAACTAGAAGAAAGCCATGTTCCATCTTAGAGGCCCCAACCTTTACCCAATGCTGAAAGCTTCTCTTTCCTGATAGAGCAAAGTTTTAGAACAGACATGTAACTATTTACATCTTTAGTATTGAACACAGATGATTTCCACAGATTTTCCTCAGTATGCTACAGGATTGCTTGATTCCACTCAGCTGACCCCCTTCCCACAGCACACTCTGTGGTTCCATCTCAAAGCAGGGGCAACCACAGGTTAAGCTATAAATCTGTAAGAGGTTTTACAAGACTGTTTGTTATTTGTACTACACCGTGGCTATCTTAGCCTCATATCTGGAAGCAAAAAAAAACCCTGACTAACCTAAGACTCCTCAGGTATTTTGCCCAGACAACTCACCTGCATAAGTGGCAGCAGATTGCTGCAAGGATTGAAGCTGGCCACGACTACAGCCATATTTCTTGGTCATATCATTTAAGGGAACCTCGCTGATTAAATCCAGAAGGGCAAGACTGGTGAAAAACCTGTTGAAGAAGCACATGTAGAAATAAAATTGTCATCCAGGGCACATTACTGTACATGGCAATATGCACCATGATAGCATAGGACAGAAGAGCACACAAAAGAAACAGAGAAGATGGCTTCCAAAAACAACAGCACAAACATCTTGTGCCAGCAATGTTCTCAGACCAGAGCAACCAGGTCCAGGTTCTCCGAGCTATCAGCTCACTCAGAAAGAGAGCCAGTTCCTGAAAATAGACACAGAGCCTGTCCATCACAAATGTTATAGCCTCTAGTATTTGCACATTGACACCCACATTCTATGGCTACCTTTTGTGGATGGCCATTTGTCTGTGCTGTTTCTCTGTTTTAGCTATGATTTTGCCTCTTACAGAACGAGCTAGAAAGCCTTCTTCAATCCCCACCAGCTCAGCCACACGTTTCATTGAGGCAGGAAGCTTCTCCCATAAGCAGAAAAACTGGTACCAATCAATTGTGGTCCACTCCTCATACACTGGGGTGACCTAAAAAAAAATAAAAAATCTATTTCAGAGAAACAAACAGAACAGAGCTCTGGGTAAACAAAAATAAAACCTAGGGAAAGCGGTTAGAGCATCCTACACACTACGTAGAGGCACTGAGTCATAACCACGTACGATAAAGAAAGTAAAATCTCTTCTAACATAATTTTTTAATATTTGTACCGATGAGATCTGACTCATACAGGTACTCTAACAATTAAACAGTTTGGAATCTTCGTCAGATTACTCCCCAAATCCAAGACACTAAACAATTTTTAATCTCTATCTTCATTCTCCTTTAACAAAACAATGCTTTATTCTTTTTTTAATAAAATCTACAAATATCTGTCAACCTCTTAAAACCACTACTAACCACACTAACCACCACCACAGCATTTGGTAAAGCAGGAAGGACAAAGATTTTGTCAGAACTTGCTGAAGCTTTCATTTACCTGGAGTACAAGAAATGTCAATTTTATTAACAACTAACAAAAAAGCCATCCAGGCCATTCACACACTTTTAGACATAAAACCAATTCTGTTAATGTTCACTCAGCACAGAGTAAGTTTCAGTATGAGGAGATAAAATTTGTTCACATCCAGATCAGTATAAAGCAAGATTAATTATTTTGAAAGAACTAACAGTTCCTGGGGAGCATTTAACATGATACAGAACACCATATGCCTATATAACTGCAAATCGTCCATGTCCCTACATCTACTGAGAAGAATAAGAGTTATTAAAGTGGGGGATTGTCTTTTTTTCTTTACTGGGCTTTTGTTGTGGGTTTTTTTTTTCTTTAAAGAAAACTCTTTTCCTAGTCTGGCAAATACTTATTTGTTTTAACCAACTTTCCTAAAACATAAGGTCTTGGAATTCAGTTTCATATTTGCACAAGTAAACGATTCAAGCTTAAGAGAGTTAAAAAGCATTATAGCAGACAAACTCCCTGTAGTCCGTGAGGAATAGATGAAGATCAAGTCTTAAAAAAATTTAAAAAGCCACCAAAATAAAACAAACCTTTGCCCTTGAAAATGAACAGCCTTGCAAGAAAGTGTTTTAGGGTAGCTTAACAGAAGAGAATCTCAAGAACATTTTTTCAACAGGGTATTCAATTTAAAATAACATTAGACAAGCCGCTGCAATTAAAAAGTACAGCATAAAAATATATTGCCATCACTGCCTCTACCCCAGGACATGACCAAATTTCTTCCTTTTTTTTTCCTGTTTTGGAGATGCAAACAGGGAAAAAATTCACTGGTGCATAACACAAAGGAGTTCATTTTGCCTAATAGAAACAGAACAAAATATAATGTGGTCCTCTAAAACAGAGATACGGGTACACATGGGGTACAAGTAGAAAAAAAAATCTGCCAGTATCAGCCCATAACTAAGATGAACACAGCAAGCAGAGGCAGGTACCCTCAGTCTCTTGCCTCCCCCATCCCCCAGCTCAACAATTTCTGTAATTGCAAGCACATTCTTCTTGAAGTGAATATTTTTTTTCAGACAAGATGCCCAAATTTTGTCTTTGATTTGTCATTCTGATAAAGAGAATACACTTTACACTTAAGAAGGCTGAAGACGACTGTCAAATTTAGGATGATGATTGCATGGTGGGCCTCTGGCAGCCACAAATCCTATGTTGTTCACTGCAACTCCATCTGGTTTCCTCACTAATCTTCACAGGTTTGTGGCTTCCTCTCCAAAGGTCTTAAATAGCATTGCTTAGCTTTTCAAGTGTTCATGCTCATAAATCTTGACACACTTTGGACACTTTCCCCTCACAAGATTTATCACACTCCTTCCTTTAGCCCTGGCAGCATCACCAGGCAAGTAAATTAAATCAGAGATGAATTTCACTGTTACTGAACTGAAGAAAGGCCCACCCACAGGAAGAAAGTAGAGTAGCTCTCTGAGGTTTTTTGCAGGAAAAATAGATACTAAAACCCCCAAAATTTTCTGAGCCTCCAAAACTAATATGAGATTAAGCCTGCTGATGCCAAACACACAACAAAACCAATTTGTTTCATCAACTTCAAGTGTCTTGGAAAAATTACCATTATCTTAGGCTTAAAACTTATGAAGTTCTGAAATCTTACAAAGTCAGGAGTGACAACAATGGGCTTAGATGGCACGCAGCACCTGCCTACACAATATGGGAACAAACTAGTTCTGAAGAACATTCTATTTAGAAACTTTTCTTCATGAAGGATAAGCTAAGCAAAGCACACATAAAGAAAACCCAACTATGTTCATAGAGCCTTCAAGAACTCTGCATTGTGCTGTCTCTCCTTTCCTTAGTTTTGGCAGTACAAAATACAAGACACAGAACAAGGAACTTACCAAATAGACAATATGCAGATCATTCTCCAGAACAAAGCTTTTCATAGCTCGCTGCAGGTCAGCAAAGATTTCCATGGCTTCAGTTGGTGAAAGAGAAGAGGAAAGAGTAGCTGAGCCAAGATGTGTTGGGTGATAAACCTTTGCTGTTTAAAAAAAAAGGAATCACATAGAAAAACATTTAAGTGCAAGTTTATATATCATTTTCGGGTTGCAATGTATTTGAGAGATACCAACTCTACTAACTTTTTCCAACTGCTTTTTTAAAAAAATAGTGTATTTCTCCATTCTGAAGACAGAAAAATGGAAATAATAAAAGGTTTAACTAGCCTTTTTCAGAGGCCAGATCTCAAGCTCAGATCCCTCTAACTACTCAGACTAACAGTTGTAATAGCTATTTGAACAAAAAACATTGGAGTCCCATCTGCCATCCTGCCTAGAAGTTACCATTTTGACTATTTCTTTCTTAGGAACACTAAATATCTCCTATTATCTTTTCTTTAAAGAGTTACAAATTAACCTGTAATGGGGATTCTTACTACTACTGTAAGAGTCTCATCCTTAGCCATTTTAAGAAAATAGCCAAAATCAGGGAAAAGTGCAATCATGTACACCAAGCAGTTCTAGAAAAGACCTGCACTCTCTTAGACTGTACTGGTTCTTCTCCAGAAAGACAAAAATCCTAGTTTACAGTAAATGTACACAAATCCCGTAGTTAAAGCATGCTTTGTTTACAGATATTTGGGGAACTTAGTAGACTAAGACGCATCAGTCTTAGAGGTGGCGTGCAGGTGATGTGCCTTCCAAGAACACATGCATGCAAAATATTCTAAAGCAGGTACAAAAACACCCACTGGAAAGCTAAAAAAATCTTGATACACATGATTCTTTAAAATAAATAGAAAATGCACAGAAGTCCTTATTATAAAGTTACATTGAACATCTACCCAGCTGCAGAAGATTTACTGAATCAAAACTAACTGCAGTCACCGGGAAGAACACCAACATTACCTTTCACATCATTGCCAGAGTCCAGAACCTGAATGAATTCATTTTCCAGCAACCATGCCACACAAGCCTCGATAGGTCCAGGCTGTGCTTTGTCTTGTTCTTTCTCATTTTCCCACTTGCTTTCTTTCAAGCTGGATGCAAGCAGAGTGCAAGAAGCATAGGTCTGCACATCATCTGGAGTGTTGGCCACTCCCCCCACTATGATCTGTTGAAGAAAACTACTTGTTCATGTTGCTAGAGACACAGTAGGATAGAACATCAGATTGGAGAATCAAAGAGGTTGATCCATCATCTAAGTTTTAAAGAACCAGGACAAGAGGGGAATATAAGGCAAAGCAACAGCCAACCGTAAAGATTTTTCTTGGCAAGAACCCAGTCACTTTAGGTAGAAGTAAGAGACTAATCTATGGGAAAGAATTAATTATAAAATCTTATTTTGAAAGTGGACATACACATAGCAGCAATTTAGATTTCAGACTAGCCCTAGGCATTTTGCTTAGCCAACACTGAAAAATTTTTATATGTTAGAACACAAGCTGCAATTTTCTGAAGACAAAAAGCAAACTAAGAAGGAGTTCTCCTAAGGTTTTTCAGTATACTGACATTTTCTCTTAATAAATGTAAATGCTATACCCCATTATTGTTTTCCTGATTGAGATTGATTTTTTCCCATTGGATTTTGGTTTGGTTTTGTTTTTCACACAACTGCTCTTTCCTTGTGTGCCATTTCCACGTGTATGTCTTCCTCGAGATAAGCAAGGTGTTTAACTATAAACTTTCTTTCATGGTTTCAATGGATTTTTTCCATGTTACAAAGAAACAACACCTGAAGGAAACTCCCATCTTTTAGATAGATTTTATGTATAAAAATGCTTTGCTAAAAATGGTTTGCTAAAAATTCAAAATCTATGGAATCACAACCAAGTTCTAAGTTTCACAGCAGTTTTTGCAAGACAGTAGAAGTATAGCAAACAAACTGTATTTAGAGAGTCCTGCATCTAATCTAGGTTCAAGCCCAAAAGCAACTTTGGGAAAAAACCACATAAACTCACTTACGTGGAAAAAAATCCTTTTGGCCCTTTTTACTTCTATAGGAACCCTACAGAGGAGGACAGGCTAGAGGAAGCAAATTGGGTACCACACCTGTTTACTCATCAAAAATGTATTAATAAAATTTCAGTCATTTCTGTGCAAAAGAGGTAGGTAAATTGAAGGGGGAAATAAGGGACCCTACAAGGTTCTACAGATTTCATTACAGCCCAATTCAGTCTATAAAGTCTCTAGGACCAGTAATTTGCAAGCATCCTCCAGTTAAGAATGTCAGGTCACACATGAAGTTTAAGAATTACACTTATTTCTGCCTAAGGGGTGCATCTAAATGCAAAAGCAAAGCTTAGTAACCCTTGTTTGAGTGTGCTCACATCCTAATCTGCAGCAAGCAGAGAAACATTCCAGACAAAATGCTGAATACTGAAGGAAGCTGCCAGACCTAAATGATTTTCTTCTGCAGATGCTTGGTCTGGCAAGGGAGGAAACACACGAAAAAGAAAGTGCACAGAAAACATTTGATGGTGTCACAAAAGAAAGCATTTTACAAGAGTGCAAGCACAGTTCTAATCCCTCTCCATGTGTCCTGTACCTCAAGTATTGCTCTTTTCATGCTAGAAGCAACACCTTCCCCTTCTCTTCTAAGCAAACAGCTGCAAACAGGCTTGAGAGATCCCTGAAGCAGAGCAGTTCCTTTCGATCTTTCTGAGGGCTTGCAAACCAAAATGCTCTCACCTATTGGAAAAGAAAAACAAAAAATACAAAAACATCAATGATCTTAGTACTGCATCTTAGCACTCTAATAGCTGCACCCATTTCATCAAGGAGATATTATTGGAAGGGAAAACTGTAGTCATTTTCCAAAAAGCCAAGTAACAAAAGAAGAGAAAAACCTGTGCAACCTTGAACAGTGTATATGAATTGCTATTTAAGAACTCCACAGATGTGTAATACTTAAGAACTAAAAGCAGAGCAAGCTTCAAAGTTACATTAGGCTAGTGAGGGTCTTGCCAAATCAGCTAAGAGATTTCACAGCCTCTCTGTGCATCTGCTTTTCTGCTGAACCAGTCTTGCTTCTTGTTCTGGAATTGATTGGAACTATAATACACAGAGGCATCAATTTTTCTTCTTTGCTACATTTTTAAACTGACAAAGTTCTCAAAAGAGGAAAACATAAAAGCTGCAAAGCACTTTGACATTTTGTGCTCATTCAACCATCTTCCAGTCCCAAAATAACACAGATACCAAACTAATTCAGAAATGCCAAATTATTAATCTAAGTAACTATACATTCTCTGAACTTTCATATATGCACATACATGCACACACACAAAATCTTAAGTATCCTGAATGGTTTCCACTGCAAGTACATCTAAATAAATCTTACCTTAAAATTCTCTATCAGACATTGTTAAGTTAATCTCTAACCACTGAAACTCTGTGGGAGACAAAAAAGGTCTGAGAGTCATGAAACAAAAATGAAAATAATGGGTAAATTCCTTTAATGAGATCACAGTACAGCCTGTCCATGGAAAATACAGTGGTCACACACAGGAGACTTTTTCTACAAAGCTCTTATAGAGAAACTAGGTCCCTGGGAGACTCTAGCTAGTTAGCAGCTTTGCCAAATGGCACAGGATAAATTAATTAGGGGTAGGACACTTTTGTCTTTGACTAAGAAGAGTGCATTAGATTTGGATTAGCTGTACAATAAATGTCATGATAGGGTTATGACAACTTGTTAAGATTTAAATGCACATAGTCTGGACACAAGGTAATTTTGGTAGTAGGTATCTTAGTAAGATTCTAGGAATGTTGTGATAAAACTGTAGCTGTGGTAATGCTAAAGTAATCAACAAATCCAGAGGTAATGAAAACACAACTGCACTTAAATTTAACGAACAGAATAAATAAATGCAGTGTAGGTGAGTAACAAAATACAACTTAAACATGTTTACATAAATGAATTACAGGATAAATACACACTCAGAGGACATGTCCTGGATTTTTTTATCCTGCCCGGTGAAATCTTTGACATCTGTTGACCACGTACTTTTTGACAGAGCCAAAGAGTACAGAAGATCAACTGCCTGTAAGAATTATTTTGTGAAAGCAAAGCTTATTTTGATTTTAGCAATTAAGAACATTCAGTCACTTTGTATTTGGGTTCTGATGTGACCTACAATTTCCTCCGAAAACTCTGACTCTTCAGAGTGGTAAATCTAACAGAAAATCTAACAAAAAATGGGTATCCCCTTGGCTCTGTATTATCGGACAGTTATTCAAGACTTGGAGGATATGGAGGATGCCCTTTCCCAAGATGCCACTGAGAACTTAAAGCCAATAATTGCAATCTAGTAAACAATAAAAAAAAAAAAAGGAACTGAGCTGTTCCAATATTCCTTATTGACCATTCCAGATGCAAGGCAAAGAGGAGGTTAGCATCAGATTAGACAAACACCAGAAGGCTCTGGCTACCCAGGCATAAAACTTCATTAAAAAACAATAAAGACCCTATTATATTTCTAAGTTTTGTTCATCGATATGGAGCAGTTTTACCTATTTCTCCTTGGGAACGTGAAAATTTTGATGAATGCAGAAGTAATCAAATTTCATTCTGTAAGATGATATTTTTAAATTTCCATCAAACCAAGAAAAAGAAACTAAAAGATCAAACCATAAGACAGCCCAAAAGTACAATGGTGGGAGAGGAGGAGGCATTCTACCCAAGAGCAATTATCTTTTGTCTGTCAGCTGAATTTCATATCCACATAAGGCATTTTTTCCAGCTGAAGTTGCTGTCCTCCAGTCTCCCTACTCTGTGAAAGAGTAGCAGCTGGCAACATAGCTTTATGTTCTCATCCAAAAGACTCTGTGGAGTGGAAAAAAATGGTACATTCATGAAGCTTATCAGCATAAAATCAACTGCTTACTGTGCACAACACAGTCACATCAGAACTGTCAAAAAGGGTACTAATTATTGTGACTTCAAGGGGAAAAAGAAGAAACTTCAAGGAATAATGTCATTTTACACCTGCCAGCTACAGTCAAATGACAAAGTCTGGAAAATTTCAAAATACAGCATGCAGCTGCCCTTTTCTTTAACGCATAGGGATAGCTCACAGAGATATAGGTCGCAAAATGCTCTGTTGCTATGCTACTCTGGCAAAAATAGAAAGCTAAATGTAAGAACAGTCTGCTTACACAGGGTTCCAGCAAGCACCAATCAAACCATCAGTCGGGCAAATCCCACTTCCCGCATCTGTTGAACTTCTTATTTTCTACCGTGTTTATACTCATATAATGCAATTTTTTTCAAACATCATCCATGAAGATAAATTTTCATTGCAAATTAAAATAACAGGCAGGATTATTTTGTTGAACATCTATCAGTGCCACTGTTTGCAAGAAGATGCCACATTATCTATGAACTACTATTCATATTTCCCTGTTCTCTGTTGCATTGCTACTTTCAAGATCCATAAAATTCATGGTTAAGTTTAGCAGAAGTTTAATAAATCTAAATTAGAATTTCAGACAACAGGAGTTTGTCAAATTATGACAGTAGACTTGGAATGCATTTCTTACATTTCAGGCCTGCACAGTGAGAGTTTACTGTAAATTTTCTCACTGAAACTGTAAATATTTTAGTTAACTGACCAGGGATCACAGAATTAAGGCAAAAGAACAACACAGCCTTGGAAGCTAACAAGAATTCAAAGGAGAAAACATCCCGTTCCTGAAGTAACTGACATGTAAATACCAAAGTCAGTCTCCTGGAGTGAAAAGAATCCCCTGGGAATTACAATTTTTACTCCATTAATACCAAACAAATTAATACCAAACAAATTCATCTTGATTAACTTAATCATACTGAATACCAAAGGAATTCATCATGATTAGTCACTAATTGCAAAGTACTGCCCTGGATTTAATCAGGTTAACACCATCCTTACAGAATGTTAATAAAGACTCTGCTTACCCTCTGTGTCTACTCCTTTCCTGCCAGCCCTTCCAGCCATCTGCTTGTAAGTGAGAATGTCCAGCAGTTTGCCACCGAACACGGGTGTTCGTATAATTACTCGGCGCGCGGGTAAATTCACTCCAGATGAGAGCGTGGAGGTTGCTGCCAGGACTCTAATCAAGCCTTGGCGAAAGGCTCCTTCAATAATGTCCCGTTCATCAAAAGTAAGACCTGAGGAGACGTGGCTTTTAGTGAACCTTGTCACGGTGACACTGCATTTAAAAGCTAATAATATTACTGTCAAGCAAGGGGAAGAACAAACAAACTTAACGAACATTCGCCATTCACTAGTATCACAACACTACCTTAGTCAACTTCTTTTGATCCATAGGTGAACCAAAATTTCATCATTAAGTATTTATTGCTCAATTGACAGTAATACACTAGTTTTTCTAAGGTGCTTGCACACATGGTAGCAAGATGAACAGCTCCTAACTGCATATCTACAAGCACTGCAATTGAATACATAAATAAATAAATAAATAAATAGATCAATTAATTAATTAATTAAATAAATAAATAAATAAAATAAAAATGAGAAAACAGCAGGGAACTAGGATTTATTCATCTACTGTCCTGACTCTGGACTCCTTCATTATTTCCATTATGGGTTACAGGTCTAGTATGTATCTTTCTACATTTCCTTCAGGGCTTCATGACAATTTTATTCTTGAGAAAGAAATCCAGATTCCATAAGCATTTGGAATTATTCCTCCTACCTAATCAATGCCATAGCTACTGTTGTCTCTCCCAGTCAGTCCCTTTTCTAGGTGAATCAACAGGCAACACTATTACCTACTTAAGTAAGAAATAAAATATCTAATCAGAAGTGTTCACAGCACACGCTCCTTTTATTTTTACGTCCATTATCATACTTCCTCTATTTACTCATTTATTTCAGTATCAAGCTGAGGGAAATTGCTCTGAAATACTCTGACAGCTTTTGGGACAACTTGAAAATGCTTGAGCTGCAAATCAGCTAATTTTTCAGGCATTTTGCAAAAAAACGCAGTTAAGTTATATTTTAAAAGTTTCTGTTATCCAACACAACACATAGGTTTATCATAACAATTTGTGAATTAAAGTAAGTCATCAGCCACAATAAAAGAATTTCAAGTTTACCTCTAACTGTGGGATTCTCAAAGCTTATATAGGCATAAGCTACTAAAGGTTTCAAAAAGCAACCGCTAAATTGCTGGTACCTACAGTGAAAAGAACCCATATAACTTCACCATTACAGAATTCAAGACCGGGATATTCAGGAATACCTGCATGATGAAATGCCACTCCCCATGGCAAAGTACGCTGGAGCACAGAATCCAGACCTGAGACAGAACGCTTTAGCTGATCCAGAACCTCATTGATCCCTTCTCTGTCCACAACAACTGGGACCAGGGTGGAGTTTTTCACAGTACCTTGAGAAGGAAAATATTTTTATAGTTTCTACTAAAATTAATTTTCATTGAAGACACTGTGCATACCATAGTCTTCTACAAACTACTTTTCTCTTACTCTCAGCTTGTTGCAAACTGTAGAACTCCCTGGCAATGATGTCTGCCAGCTTCTCACACCAGTTCTTGGATGGACAGAAAAGCAGGACTGAATGGCCACCACAAACAGTCTCATAACACAGGCTCACAACATGGTCTTCATCTCCCTGAATTGAGACAAAATATTTTCAAGGCACTCTCAGATTGAATGAGGTTTGTAAATGCTGTCATTCTGTGTCTCAGTAGGAATCTTCCACTTCAAGAAAGAGGGAGCAAACAAAGAAGATGGAGCACTGTTATCTTATTTTCTGTCTTGCTTTATGAAGTTCAAGCACTAGTATGACCCTATTTTTGAGGACAGTTCTAGACCTACCTATGAATAAATGTAACATTTTGCATCTTGCTTTCATAAATCTGCTTCTGTATGAAGGCCACACAGTGAACAAAAAAATCACTGCAACCTCCATGTCACGGCTAACAGCAGTGGCGAAGAACTAGGAAGAGCCCCGAGGGAAAACTCCTCTACAGTAACTAGGGAAGACTTGTCAACTGGGATGTCTGAACTAAAAGCATGAGATGTAGTAGTCTAAGCATCCCCAATAAGATGCACTCAGCAAGCACTTCTGACCAAAGACTGCAAGTGTTCAGAGCACAGTGGAAGGCTTTTATTGATACTTACATAGATGTCCCTTCAAAACCCTTCTGTTTACAGCTTGCTTTTTTAGTTTTAAGATCCTAAGAGAGTCCCTGCAACTGATCTGTTTTACTTGGCTAAGACAGATTCCCTTCTAGCAAGCAGGCCAAAGGAGTAAGAGAAAAATGCAGGCCTACAGGAAGAAATAAAAAGCACTAAAATGCAAATGAAAACAGGGGAACAATGTCAGAAACTGCATATACACATCAAAAGCTCAGTAAGGATTCTGCCAAATTCAGCTGAAGTGGTGATGTCATCAAGTTCCCTTTCCTGGTCCAGTTTGAGACACAAAAGTCTGAAGGTTCAGTGACAGGTTTCAAGCTCAAGATCACCTGGTTTTATAAAATAGGTCAACTCCTTTAAACTGTTGAGTCATAAGCCTCATTTAGATCTTTCTTCCACTTAATTTAGTAACTATCCACAGCAACTATTTCAAAAAAATCCAGAAAAGGAGATGTAACATCACCTTCTCAATATGACCACATAAAAGCAAGCTTCCAGATATTCATGTCACAAATGTTTCTTTTTGTCTCTGGGACCCTTTTTCTTTGCTGTGTCACCATGCTACTGACATGATAACATTTGTGGACGAGATCTGAGTGCAAAATATTTCAAAATATTGCTGGAATTCAGCCCATACTGTCCAACTACTACACTAGTATTACACAGAGCAGTTCAAAGGAACAGAGATAATATTCACCCTTCAGAGACTTCACAGAAAAGGAACCTACAAGTAGGAAGCACAAATTTTCCATTTCTACGCATTTTGTTCTTCAAAATCCTTATAGTATTACGTTGCCCTTAACTTTCCATATCCTTTTCAAGTGTGTAAGAGGACTAAATACTGAAAACAGATTCAGAAGAATCAGGATGGACATCTGCCTTCTAATCACTGACAAAATTAGATCATTTAGCAGTTTAACACAAGGAGGTTCAATACCAGATTTTAATGCAAACATATTATCCCAGTGTTGAATGCAAATTCCTTGGCCTAAGCAGGAAATACTTACCTGCATCCATGAAAGTGAAGTAGATTCCCAGACACAAGATAGGGTGGTGGGTAAGGGAAGAATCAAACTCTTTATACCTGTCAAGTGCTCAGAAACTGCAAAGTCAACCTTGTCTTCAAGTCAGATTGAAGAAACGTCAAGATGTTCATGAGGGGGTATGGGTTGGGTTTTTTTTTTGTTTAAGTCAGTAGAAGACAAAAAGAACAGTTTCGTTCTAAGTTGGAGCATATAATCTATGAAGTAAACAATGAAGTCAGGAATGTCATCTATTTAAAAAGAAATTAAAAACATACCAAGAGCTGTCTTTTTAACTTTAGCATTACAAAAGGTGTCATCCCAAAGCCACTGCTCAGAGTTTTGTTACCTTCAGTTGAAGCTTGGGCTGGAATTCTCGCACTAAATTCATGGAGGAGTCATATATGTTGCTGCCAATTTTCACCCACTCCTTGAGGGGCACAGGGCGAAAATCTGTACAGTATAGCTCTGCATCTAACCACGAGGCTAGGAGTCCCAAATTAGGGAGAGTAGCACTCATGCCTACTATCTGTATCCCACCAAAACCAGGACTGGTCATCTTCACCTCTCTGGAAGTGGTTCAAAGAAAACAAAAGTTAGTGACAACACTCGCTACTGTTCTGGAAAACAGAATTCAGAAAAACTAACTCAATCTACTTCCTTCCAGACTCTAAAATGCAAAGCTACTTTTTTTAACTTTTTGACAAAGAAACAAGCCATACTCTACTCTTAGCAAACACAATGTTATGCATTAATAACAAGATAATTCAACTTTTTATCATTTTGAACCTAAACCTCAATCTTCTTTAGGTAACAACAGATATAAACGACTGCTTATTTGGAGAAACTGAAAACAAATACATAAATCAACCAGTTCCTCGACACTAACAAAAACATGGAAATAAAAGAATAGCTTAATCTTCACCGCAATCTTCTAAGCTTAAATGCCTTAATTAAAACACTTCTCTTTGTTTCCATTTCAACACAAGTAACACTAAACTAAGGTCTTCCTAGATCTGGGAACCAAAGCCCTAAATTCAGCAAAAATGCAAGTGCTGAATAGCAGCTTCCATTAAAGGCAGTGAGAAGTAATGGACTCCTAACAGGCCAGAAAACACAAACTGTTAATTTAGATACCCAAATGTAGATTTTAATTCAGGCTTTTACATCCACACAATAGTTTTGGGGTTTTTTTAATGCTCCTATGCTTACGTTTGAAAACTACTCATTTGCATTGCACTGAGCCATAAATTGAGACTTTAAAAAATAAAAGGTCTGACAAATCAATATGAGCTCAGAAACAGACAATCTTTTTAGAAGACCTCGCCTTCAGGGGTCGGTTGTAACACTTGGCAAAGAAACAAGATAACCCAGAAGCCATAGTATAAAAAACCAGTCACTGATGAGACAGAAATAAGGAAGATGGGGAGAGGTAGACTCTCTAATCCAAGCCCTTCAAGCATTTGCTAGTACAGCTTGGCCATCAAGGTTGCAGATTTTTGCCCCTACAGCAACCTGAGACCCTTTTTTTTCCTAAAGCAGCTTTTGACCTTCAAGAATCAAAAAAGTTCCAGCTCCACAAGGAGCTCACTATTTGACTGAGGAGGAGAAAAATATGCTACAGAATTTTAGCTGGGTCTGCAAAAGCCTTGCAGATTAAGAAGGTTAGACCTTCTCCTCCATTTGCCTTTGTTTGTGTTTGGGCACTATGGAACTGCTGGACAGTTTGCTGCTGAGGATCTAGGTACTGAACTCTTAAAAGCCTCTAAAGCTCTTCTGAAACATTTAATCTGTTCCCCAGTGTCCAATCAGTTGTGCTAAAGGCAAGAAACCATGCAATCACTAGGCTATCGCATTTTATAAGCAAAACCAGAGCTTGTCCTGAGCAGTGCTAACTAAGCAGACTACTGGCACATCCTCTTAAGCTTTCTGACCAATTCACCATGTACAAGCTAACAATATGCCCACTCTTCCACAACACCTGAACATTTCTGAAGGATAAATACTCCATTCCATGAAACACCGAAAAAATCTGCTAGCAAAACTGTTCTAAAAAAATCCAAAGTTTTTAAAAAAAACTTAAATAGGCTAAAGAAGTAAATGAAAGCTTCAGCCTTATTTCTTTTCCTGAGAGAATAAATCCCATGGTAGCACATAAATTGAAAACCACGAGGAAAAGAGGTTTTGACTATAATGGCAGGCCCCTGAGAGGTGATATGATGAGATCTTAATAACCAAAATAGTCTAGGTCATCACTATCGTAAAAACCCTGGAGCTAACCCAAATTTCCAATCACCCAGAGAACAACATATTTAGAGTCATCCGTAATTTAGCATTAAAAGACAAACATCCTGGTCTACCCACCGTTTTGCTATCTTCTCTGTAACATATCTAACTTTGGTCAGGAGAAGTTCCAGCAGATATCCTCGATGAGAGTCTCCCAGCATGTGCAACTCGTCCACAACCACCACTCCTGATAAAGAAAAGCACTCACGTTATATTTGACCAACCTCCACACTAAGAACAGATAGCCCCAATCCTTTCACATTCCACAAAAACTGAAATTTATATTCACAAATCCAGCTATGCTTACCAACACCACTACAGCTTCCTTCTGCCACTGAGACAAATCACAACCAATGTCACGACATTTCACACACACTCCCAACCACACACATGCACACAATCAGCTTTTAAAAAAGAAAAATAAATAGGTTCCTAGTCTAGCCACCACACAAAACAGTATTGCAGTATCTGTACTGCAACTTCTCTACAAGTAAAAACCCCCAGGCTTCAGATTATCTGGAAACGAAAATTCCAGTACCGAAATGAGCAAGTCAAAAGCTTTGCTGACATCACTATCTTTGTTAAAAACATTATTTCTTACTAATACAGTAAAAAACCCAGGAGCAGATGTAATTAAACTGGCATAGTCTGCTTCCTATTATATTGTCTTTCATTAACCAAACCTGAATGAGCCCTACTATCTAGCTTTGGCTTTGTAATGAAAAAATATTCTTATGTGACAGCTTTGTTGTCATCCTACCTCTTGCAAATGACTTTTTAATCTATTAACCACCTCCATCAAATTTTTAAGATGTGTAAAATATCTAAAAGCATAATGTCTAAAAAGCTTTCTGAATATTAGCAGCTGGAGACAACAGACCAGACTACGGTCTGCCCTGAGGAGAAAACATAGAAGCGCTACAACTAAGGCACCCAGTGCCCCTCCTGCACACATTCCAGCAGTGGTATGTACCATTTCTGGCCAGCTGACAGGGTCCCAGGATTCCATCCAGGATGGAATTGGATAAAGGAAGGTTAAACCAAAAAAAGCAGGGCATAGAGGACACTACGCTTCATTAGTCCTGCTGCTATGAAATTTTTTTTTCCTCTTTGGTGCAGCTATGTAATATCTTTCTGGTATAAAATAGCAGGAGCTTAAGGGCAAATGTGACCTTATATTATCTGTTTCAATGCTGGTTTTCCTTCTTATTTTTTTTCTCTCCTTCCCACATATGTTCCTTTTCTCTCCGTCTGTTTTCTCCCTCCTTCTCTTTCAAGCCACTTAAGTTAGAAAAGAGTGCTGCACTGCTTCATCAGCCTCTTTTACAAACTCCCACCCATCCAGCTCCCCTGTCTTCCTGCACTTCCTCTATTCGGTGTTCACTTGCAAAAAGTGGTAATTCATTGGTCACCAAATACGCACTTATTCAGCTTCCACAAAAAGCTTCTTCCTGCTTCCCCATACAACAATCTGTCTGAATTCTTCCAGAAGCTGAGACAGGACAGTTTAATCAGATATCTACTGAAGTAAAATCCATACAAGTTACCTTTCCAGTCTTCGTGCCAAGCAGCAGCACATTTTACTTCCAGAGATGAAGCATAGAACACTAGTGGTACCTACAGGCCAAAGCACAGGGAATGCCACTATTTTTTGCACGGGCCACTTGTTTTATACCTTCTGCTGCTACTCAGCTATAATGTATACTCAGACATTAAACCTGTGTACTGTATTGCCCTGGCAGCCTGCAAGCTGGTGAGACCTGACTGTCACAGGTGCACGAGTGCTCTCCCCTATTCAGGCAGCACTCAGAACACACCCACTGGAATAACACAGCAGGAGCAAACAGGTAACTGGTATTTTTCACAAAGCTATCCCCTTCTTAAAATGAAATTGCAGCCAAGGAGGACTTCAGGCCCTGGCACGCAATGGTGTTTTCTACTTTACAAGTTTAGGAAGTTCTGGCAAGCGGGGCCAGAACTTCGTCATACTACATTGCTACTGAAAATGAGTCTAGCCTCAGCCTCCTTTTCTGTCTGCAAATTAGGTGTGTCCCTAGAAGACCATTGAAAAAAAACCTACTAAAAAGTACATGAGAGCTATCAGACATGTTTACTGGAGAATAACTAGGCTGCTTTAAGTCCCCATCCTGTTTAAAACTAAAAAGTTCTGAATGACAAGGAGGGAGGATTTGGTATTTGGTTGGGCGTTTTTTTAGTACAATTAAACCAGTAACTTTTTCATTTCAAGTTTAAAACTAAGAAAAGAAACAAGTACCATAACAGCACATTAAAAATCCATTCCCAGCTGACACACTGAGAAAGCAGCAGATTTTTCTCTAACTACTTTCCCAAAAATTTCTTCAGCATCAGTGTCTAGAGGCTGAACAACAAGAGGAATATCATCTCCTGTGTACCTGGATGTTCAGAACTGACATGTTACACAATAATTAGCAATACAACATTGCTTTTAACTGCTTCATACAGCAAAAAGAGCTCTGGCAGGCAGAAGATTTGAGTTTCTCTCAACAATTTCCAAAGCTATCAGCTATATAGCTGTGAGCTATCAGTACAGGGTTGACATCGACAAAAGGAATAGCTCAAGCTTGAGATGGAATCCAGCCAAGATTGCAGTCATCTCCCAATAACTCATCTCAAAAGATAAAACACTCTTGTTACCAACCAGTCTAAATTTAGAATTAATTAGAAGACAAGGTACAATCTTGCAGTTTCAGACAAGCGTGCTTTAGGTGACAGTTAAACTGGCATTTTCAGTTCATGCCCATATTTTACAGCTTTTATGAAAATTTATCTCCAAACAGAAAATTTGTCCATTTCTTACATAAAGATGATTTTCTAAAATCAAATTAATTCAAAAATTGATGTCAAAGAAAAAAAAAGAAAAAAAAAAACAGAACACATTTTTACATTTATTTCCATTATATGGCCGTACTGGGGCACAAGGGAAATGGATGGTTGCAGTAGAGGTGTTTTCAAATGGTAAAATTAAAACCTGATGCTTTAAGGAGTTATTGGTATTAAGGGTACATATTCAAAGTCAAATCTTGTAATCATTTGGCTGCTTACACTTAAATGACTCGTCTCAGGTACATTCATCTTAGAAACCACAACAAAATGTAGGGATGAAACGGAGGTCCCAGCTAAAGGAATTTGGCACATTTTAGTACACTGAGCATGCTTCCAAGACACCCAAGCCAACATCAAGATGGTTATCCTGACCCCACTATCTTGTGCTGGCGGTAGAGCTTGTACAGTGTGGTGACCTAGGATCAAATTAACCCCATTTTAAACAAGCAAAAAACCCTAAACTAAGTAGTCATATATCGAAATAACTAACTGCATGATCACCATTCTCTTACAAGTGCAAGGATGAAGATGTACATTCAAGAACTGAGCAGGACTGCAGGAGCCTCAGTTTGAATGAGCTTAAAATGCAGCACAACAGTCACCCACTCATCTTCCAGCCCACTGGCAGTTTCTAAAGCATTCATGGTGATTCAGCCCCTACAGATCCAGGTGTGAATGTGTTATCCCATGATCTCACACTCTAAAAAATCCTGAAAGGCTTTATTTCCCTTTTTCTCCCTTTAAAAAAATCTTCTGGTATACAGTGCAGCAGAATATTATGATACCAGATGCACACAGAACAGCAGTTTCAAAGGTGGAGGTCTCAGAGCAGTTTGACACTCAGCTATTTTTCCAATTTTTGTATTCTTAAAATAGCAACCAGCTATGTTACAGGACAGAGTGAAGACAGGGAGGATTACTGTATAAAACATAACTGGATATAGCTTTATTGAGCAGAGAAACAAAAAGAAGAACAAACTTCTGATTAGACTAGGAAAGCATATCTCTCTCCAAGTGCTCACTGGAAACACTGGGCTTCTTCAGGTTTTATATCTCCTCCCTAAATGAATACTAACCTTATCTAGTGGCCATTAGGGCCACAGTGACCCAGAAGCCAGTGTTACAAGGACAGAGGGCTTTTGAGCGAACTACAAGACAGAAATGAATGCCACAGCCCTCCTAGTCACCATGCCTATCCACAGGAGCCCTATTCATTCTGCTTATCTGGATCCAGATGAGTACGAAACATAATCTTTTCTCTTCCTTGAGCTAAATGAAGATAGATCATAAATTCCACAATTTCTGTCCAAAACAAACAAACATAATACATTCCTGAACTCAAACATATCTCAGACCTTTAATTCAATTTTATTAATTAGAAGATGTTTTCTAGCAATGGGAATCACTACTTACTGCAACTAATCACTGTCCATGGACTCTCATCCATGTCAGACAAACTAAAACCTGCAGCTTCTACATACTCATCCCAGATGCTGAGTTACATGGAATAATGCTGACTGCCCTCCCGAATCCAAATCAGAGGTGCTCTGGAAGAAGAAAATTGCTCAATTTTCCTGTATGGTATGTCTGTCAAATACATAACTGAACAAATTCAAAGCATGCCATGGTTTTACATGTACTCAGAATACGTAATAAACCTCATCCCCACAATGGTCAGGCCTTGGTATTTTACCCAGTGAGTCCATTCTGTTTTCTTCTATTAGCCTATTGATTAGTCCGTTGGCTTTCTCGATGGTGCAGACAGCAACATCCAGAGCAGAGAAACGTCCAGCCGGAGACATGCTTCCCATGTAGCCTCCAACTGTCACATCCACCTCCTGAAACAGGGACTGTTTTCCAAGGATACAGAATGTCATGTCAAGGTTACAACTCTGAATTTTGACTAATGCCTGCTGGAATCACATAAAAGCCTGCATTCTACACTTACAATTTCTAGTAGTGTTAATGCCTACTAATCAGATTAAAGCCATAGCTCAGCCAGTTACTGATACTTCTTTTTTCCACTGTCATTTTTTATTTCCAAAAGAGAAGCCACGGAGTACACATTGTGAGATAAACTGTACATAACTGAGTAAAAGCTATGGACTACTGTTTTGTATAAAAAGATTTCATATTAAAAATGTTGGAGAACACACAGTGCAACAGTTTATAATACAAGTGGGTTATGCACAAAGAAGCCTTCCTCTTGACAAATCTTGGGCGAAAGCCAAATGTGTAACCCCAAATACAACAATGACACAAAGCCAAGAAACAACTTATTTTCTTCCAGGGCTCATTACTGCAGTGCCAAAGCTTTGGCACATCACACACAGCATTAACAAAAGGTACAAATGTTTGGACCTCACAGGTAGGATACCGTATGATTTCAAATACGTGCAGCTACGGCCAAACCTTAGGCCAGGAGTAGTACAACACAGCATTGATAATCCTCCAGCTTTACAAGATTAAAGCAAAAACTTGTCTCCATTATCAATTGCTACAAAGTAGCTTTTGCACTCAGTTTGTAGGACTTCCTAGCAATTTGCAAGGTTAAGATACAATCTCAGTTGATTACCGAACAACAATGTGCTAAATGCCACAAACCATAACAAAAATCCTTGATGGAATTGGATTTGGATTTGGCTTTAGTCACTGTTGTTACCTAACGGAAACAATGTTTGAAACCCTTCCGAGAAAGAATATTTATGTTTTAAAAAGACTGATCCTACTGTAATTTCATTTTTTAAATACCTGGAGTGAAGAAGACAAAGTGAAATCAAAGGCAGAAAATTGTGGTGGAACACCCCAAGGAAAGCTAAAATATGTTTTTATCCTTTCAGATAATGTTAACACCTTCCCTTTGTAGTTTTTCTGACACAATCTCTAACTAGAAACTTCCTTTAAAGTTTGTATATTATAAAATCTGTGAATAAATGCAAGCAACAATGCTTTAAAAGTCAAAGCTGAAATAAAATGTTTTAATCGACTCCATAAAATTTTTCCAAGTTCCCTTTCTGGCTAAAACTTTCATTTTTTTATCTCAACCTAGAGAAAATCTTAAATTATCTATAAATCCTTTCTGAAACGATTCTGAATTTTTTTTCCCCCAAATCCATGCTTTTGCATTTCTGTTTAAATAATGTGACCCAACAACTACTACCCATAAATTTACCTCCTTGAATGCTACTTACCTGTAGATAACATTTCTTCTCCTTGGCCACAGAAACAAAGGGAAGGATGAGAAGAGCTTTCTTACGAGTCTCCAGGACTCGCTTCAAAATAAGCAATTCTGCAACAAGAGTCTTTCCAGCACTGGTAGGAGCTTGAAAAAAAAAAAATTAATTAATTTTTAAAGTTTAAAAAAGAAATCCAACAAAAAAGCATCACAAACCTAGTATAGAAAGCAGTTACTGGAGAACCTAGGATGGAACTCTTCAGTTGATGTCTCCCACCCACAATCACAACCACATTTGCAGTCAACTCTTTATAGAGTCAAGAAGACTAAAAATCACCCGCCTCCCTTCTAAGTTCTTCATCTTCCCAGTGCTGCTCTGGAACCTTTTTCCCAAGAAAAATAAGCAACCAATTGTAATTTCCCACAGATTTCTAGTTCACCAGTCCTACTTCTCCTTCTGCACGCACACAGCCCCCATACGTTATGTGAAGAGAAACGACAAAGGGACTGAAAAAACCAGATAGTAAATAACATTCTCAAAAGTATTTATATCTACCATTGTTATTATAATTCAGTTTCTGGTTGACATAGCCTATAATTTTAAAAAAATTAACATTAACTGATTCCTAATTATCAGTTTCTAAAGGAACTTTAACAGGGAAAAAGGGGAAAAAAGTCTCTCCTCACATTGGAAAAGAGACCATTAAGCCAGGTTTGAGGTACAGCAATGGGACAGATCTTAATGGGATGTCTCCAGAAAAAAAGAGGATCTTGACTTTTCTATCTGCCCGATCAGAATCCTTCAGCACCAACATGTTCTTGTAAATGGCAGTGGAGAAGTTAGAAGGGACTGGTTTTGTCGGATGTTTGCATACCTGAGTAAACCAGGTTCCTCCCTTCCAGAACTTTTCCAAGCATTAGGCATTCTGCTTGCCATTCAAACATCTGTACTACTCCCAGACTGTGGTATTTTTCCAGAACTGCTTTGGGAAGACCCCAGCTTGCAAGGAGCAACTTGTCTGCTTGGTCTTCAGGAACATTTACCTGCTGATATTGACCTTTGGGAGGAGAAAAATTTTAAAAGTCAAGTATCATCCTTGAATCTGAGGTCATGTAGGTTATACACCTAAATGTCAAACTTCCCTACAAAATCCTATATTACAAGAAAAGGCAATAAACTACGTGACCTATATTTTTCAATATTTCCTATGGATGTTTCACCATTACTCTTATCTCTTTTTTTCAACTTTTCCTCCTATAAGATTATCCACATTTAATTAATTTCTTCACCAAACTCTTGCTCCCGTATTTGTTTTTGAGACAGAGCAGCCATTACCAAATACCTACTCAAATAGAGCTTCAGCACTGATTACAATGTATTTGCCACCTTATCCCTATCCATACCATTTCCGTTTTAAATCACTGCTACTGAGGCTTCAGTAATCCTCAGATTACAGAACCACCCTGTCTTTTTCCTTGCTTTACAGATAAATGAAATACACAACACAAATCAAACAAGCAACAGTGTCTCCACAGTGTGTCATATTTCAGTTTATCTGATTAGTATCTTCATAACACTGCCAGTTCCTCTAGCTTAATTAAGTTGCTTGCTGATTATCTTTTGTCTTTGTAACCTTAGACAATTTTATGCTGGCTACAGATATTGCCTCCTTCCTCTCCTTCTCCTCTTTTTTTCCAATCATTGCAAAAACTCAAGCTTTTTGTCCCTTTCCTCATCTGATACAGAAAACAGGTTTCTGATCCAGAGTAGTCTCCCCTATATATAAGTTCCTATAACAGCATTTTGTGAAAGACCTTGTCAAATCGAGATGAAAAACAAGTACTTGTGTGTACTGACTCTACTGTACCCATTCTTCTACTGGTGCATTCAAAAAATTCTAAAAGGAAACTTCCCACCATTGTTGACAGCATAAGGGCAGGCTGGATCAGCAATACTAGCCAGAATAAGCAGGCAGCATTTTTACTCTCAACACACTAAAAATTTCAACTGCCACCTTAAGGTTAATCCCAGCCAAGCTGTCACTGGTGTGTGTTCATTCTCTTCCACACAAATATATAAAAAAAAATTGACATAGCTTAGCTCTGAAAGCTTTGTTTCACTTTGTGTAATCCAAATACCATAAAATACTAAACAAGAAGTTAAGCACCATTGGGAGAGAACAGCAGTACGCCACGAAGCAGAACAGGCTTCCCAAGGGGAATTCAGAGCAGACCACTGTCCATCCTAATTGTCTATCCTAAACTGTGACTGTGGTGGGCTGACCCTGGATGGACACCAGATGCCCCCAAAGCCTCTCTGTCACTCCCCTCCTCAACTGGTCAGGGGAGAGACAATACAATTAAAGGCTTGTAGCTCAAGATAAGGACAGAAAGATCACTCACCAGTTACCATAATAGAAAACACTTAACTTGGGGAAAATTAATTTATTACTAATCAAATCAGAGGATTTGATAGGATAACAAGAAATAAAAAAAATCTTGAAAACACCAATCCCTTACTTTTCCCTTCTTCCCAGGCTCAACTTTACTGTCAATTTTCTCTACTTTCTCCCCCACGGGGGCGCAGGGGGACAAGGGTTGCACTCAGTTCGTCACATGTTGTCTCTGCCACTCCTTCCTCCTCAAGGGGACGACTCCTCACACTCTTCCTCTACTCCAGCGTGGCATCCCTCCCACTGGAGACAGTCCTCTATGAACTTCTCCAATATGAGTCTTTCACACAGGCTGCAGTTCTTCATGGATTATTCCAGCATGGGTCCCCCAGAGGGTCACAAGTCCTGCCAGCAAACCTACTCCAGCATGGGTTCCTTTCTCCATGGGGCCACAGGTCCTGTCAGGAGCCTGGTCCATGTGGGCTTCCCACAGGGTCAGAGCCTTCTTCAGGCATCCACCCACTTCAGTGTGGGGTCCTCTGCAGGCAGATCTCCATGGGCTGCATGGGGACAACCTGCCTCACCATGGCCTTCTTCATGGGCTGCCAGGGAACATTAGGTCTGGCACCTGGAGCACGTCCTTCCCTCTCCTTCTTCACTGACCTTGGTGTCTGCAGGGCTGTTTCTCTCACATATGCTCACTTCTCTCTCTGGCTGCAATTGCCATTGCACAAGGGTTTTTTTCTGCCTTCTTAAATACGTTATCCCAGGGGTGCTACAACTGTGGCTGATGGGCTCAGCCTTGGCCAGTGGCACGTCCCTCTTGGATCTGGTTGGTATTTGCTCAATGGGACACAGCGGAAGCTTCTGGCAGCTTCTCACAAAAGCCATCCCTACAGTGCTCCCTTGCCACACAAATCCAAAACAGTAACTAATATAGCAGAATCAGGATTCTGAAACATACAAAACCCCCTAGGTGATGCAATCTCAAGCTTTTTTCCTAATGTTAAAACCAAGGAACTTCATATAAAAGATGGGATGAGTAAAGGATTACATGATTCTGCTGTTTGAAGAATATCTGCAGATTAGAACTGCACATGAGTTTGGAAACTTGTGCCTTAGGAGACTTTAAAGATTTATGTACAGAAGTATACCACTGACATTAACCTCTTTTTTACCTAAGAAACAGTCAAAATTAGGAAGATACAAACTGTTGGTTAAAAGCACTGGTTATTAGATTTCTCTGAAAGAAAACCCTTCCAGAATGTGGGGCCAGTCGGACACAAGCATTGCTTACTGAATTGTCTTCGAGGAGTTGCCCTGTGGAAATGTGTAGGTTGCCTTGCTCAGCTCCATTTGCAGAAATTGACAAAATTGTATAACCACACCAGGGAGGTGGGGCATGACTTGAGAAGAGACCAAGAGATGTAAATGCTTTAATAAGTTACAGAAAAATCACAAAAGAAATGAAATTGCAAGATGCTACATAAACATCTTGATTTTAGACGTTATCTATAACTTGATGCTGCATACATCTTGATGTCTCTCGTGATTCAAGAGCACAATAAGCTGGTAAAATGTATGTATAGCATCCAGAAGTTTCACTTTAAGTAGCTCTGGCTGGCAGCAGGACCATTTGATATGACACCTTACCACAAGATGTTTGTATAATACAAGACATTTATATAACATCTTGTAGATCGTGTATAGAAGTATATTGTATATGCTTCCTGTGCATTGTATATGCATTCTTGAATCAATTTAACAACACAGATAAGACTTGCCTGGTACACCAGAGTACAGACTACACTGTTTATTGTATTATGGCAGCACCTAGAGGCCAAGAAAAGAATAAGGTCCACCGTTAAACGACGTATAATGAAACGGGCCCGACCTCAGAAGTGTGCACAGAACACACATTTCCTTAACTACCCAGCGATTAGTGCAGGAAAATCCTTCGATTCACGTTTTTACGCCCCCCACCTTGCTAACACAAGCTGCAGCCGCTGCGATCGAAGGAGAAAGGCAGGGGCGAAGCCTCGGGCCTTCTGTCCCAGGGCAACGCGTCTCTCCCGGGGCAAAGGCCGGGAGAGGCTCGGAGAACGCCCGGCCCCTTCCAACAGCGCCGCCGTGTCCCACGGGGCAGCCCCGCTCCCCCTCGCCCAGCACGTCCCGACCTGCCGCGCTGCACGACCGAGGGGAAGGCGGGGAAAGGAAGAAAGGAAGGAAGGAAGGAAGAAAAAGGGGAGAGTAGGGCTGCGCTCTCCTGCGCCAGTACCTGCCGAGCCGCTGCTGCGCAGGGAGAGGTCGAGGCCAGGCGGGGGGCTCAGCACGGCCGGCCGGGGAGCGGCGGAGCAGGGCGGCTCGGCCTCCCCCCGCCTGCGGGAGCGGCCGCCGCGAAGCCCCGCGGCCGCGGCTGCGGCGGAGGCCGAGCCCGGGGCGGTCCCGCCGCCATCTTCCCGCCGCGACATTCAAACCCAGCCCCGCCCCGGCCGGCGGGAGGGCGGCCCGAGCGGCAGCGGGGAAAGGGTACGAGGTTGGGGAGGGTGCTCCCCCGGCGTGTCGTCACCACAAAGCGCTAGTTGTCTTTGCCAAAATAAGCCTTCGCTTAAGCAGCGCTCGGGACGCGCGGTATTCGTGCTGTGCAGGTGAAAAGCCGAGGTTAATTAAGGAAGGCGACGGCGTTTGCTTCAGCAGCACAAGCACGCCACGAGCACACGGGCCTACCTGGGAGAGCTGCTTCATCCTTGCGGGAAGGAGGCTGAAATGTTAAACAGAGAACAGCACAAAGAACAAACAGCCTCGCTTGGTGGTTCGAATGGCTCAGCCAAAATAACAGCTTCAGATTCTAAAAGAGCAGGACTGGTTTTATCTCTCCTCAGTGATGAGTATCAGAAGCAGTTCAGTAAAAATTCTGCAATATCCAAAAAATGCATGTCTTTGTCCATCACCCAAAAAAGTGTTAAAAAGCATGATATCAAAAAATAGGGCTTTTCTAAGTTGCTTTTGACTTCAACTTAAGGAAACATACTAATCTTTCCAGAAATACCAAGAACTATGGGTGAATATTCAAAGTGGTTCCAGGAGCATGAACATACGTAGTTATTTCCTGCTGTCCACCGCTGCTGTGTTTCACTTTGGGTAACACATGCACACATGCTCCACTCTCTCAGAAAAACCTTCTCTCCATGTTCTGCATATCTCTACAGAGAAATGGATCACAGCTTGGAAATCTGCCTTTATGGGAAGCGGCACCAGTGCTCATCATCTCAAACACATACACACACCCTCTCTGAGGCATCAAAGACCCATGTCCCTCTTCTCACAGGAACAGGTCATTGGCCCAGAAACACTGGGAAAACAGCCAATACTAAAAAGGACTGGAGAGTCAGGTGTGGAAGCAACAGCCTTCATTCCAGTTATCTTCCTTCGCAAAAACCTAAAGCTTCTGTACCCATCTTTGTCTTGCAGAAAAAACTTCTGGCCCTCAAAGATGAGCATGTATTCTCAGTCTTGTCATTAAAGCAACCTCTCAAGGTTAAATGGAAGCAAAATCCTTTAAGAACAGTGCTGTCATTTCAGGCAATTATATCTGAGTAAGTGTAAGGAATGGTCTAATGGTAGAGTCAACATATTTAAATCCTCTTTAAAATCAAGCAGCTCAAAAAGCTTCTTTTGTTGTTAATGTTTACAAAACCAGATGCTAACAGTAGACCCTTCTGTGTTTCAAAGCCCAAGCATCAGACAAGTACAACATGCACTTCAATTATTTTAATGAATTGACACTTGGAGAATGTATCCATTCTGCAACTCCAAAGACCAAAAGTTAAATATATTAAACAGAAGAGGCATACTGAAACCCTTTGCTGAAGACTCCTCACTGCAGAAAACAATTCCCACAGCAGACTAACCATTTCCTGTATTAGTATTTAAAAAAATATTGAAGAAAATATCTCAGTATTCTACTTAGAAACAATATATAAACCTATTGCGCCAGAAAAAAGACCAGAATAAGCACTGTTGATACTCAAAATGCTCACAGCATAGACATGTTTCACTTGAACATGTAGTTTTACAACTGCAGCACAAAATCTATTACTTCCTCATGACTTCAGGTCCACTGAAGTACACTTCATGTCCTCCTTGCAGCTTTGAAAAAGCTATTTAAACATTAAAGGGCACATCTATCTTAATTCTACTCTTTTTTTTAAGGGGGAAAAGACAGGTTTTGCTAACAGAAATTTTTAATTAATTAAAAATAGTTTACAAAATTTGAGGACAGACCTACTTTACCAAAGCAGGAAAATAGGCTAACTAGCAACCAGTCGAAGAATTTGGTTCCGTAAGTAAGTGCACAACTGGTTCATCAAGTCTCTGTTCTGTCCTTCAACCCAGTGCATTTCTACTAACACATCATTTCCTTCTTTCTTCACATTCATTAAACACTTAAAGAGAAAACATCTACTACTTTCTTTGGGGCTTTGTTCTTTTTCAACTGTCAGATTGCTAGCTTCCTCTGAAGGGCAGGTTTCCTCCTTTGCATCACCAGAACCTTTGCCAAGAGATGTTTCTCCCTGCTTTGCTTCCATCTCCTCTTCCTTCACAGGATCACTGTGTTCTTCTTTGGCAGCAGATTCCTCTGGTAGCTCATCACCTGTGGTCAACTGGACATCCTCATTAGGTGCCATAAACCCCATTTCAGAGTCTTCAGTTTTGGGGTTTTCACAGTCCAAATTGTTGCTCACACTCTTCTGGCTGTTCTTTTCCTCTTCCATTGCTTGCAGAATATCTTCAGAAGCTCGAGGAAGCTCTCGTAACTGCCTTATTCTCTCTCGTTTCTTTCTCCTTAAATGAATCCAGGAGTTTTCAATGGCAGTCACAAACAGGCTAACTTCATCTTTTCCACAGGGAACACGTTTATGCTGAACCTATTGCAGAAAACAGCAGAATTTCATTCAATCCTCTCACAGTTATGCTTTCAATTAGAATGTTGTTTTAACATCTAGTATTTCACACTGTACCTTCAGATCAGTGAGAATCTTCTCTACCCAGGCTCTAACCACAGCAATAGCTTCTACAGCATCCCAGCCCATAGCTGCCGCTTTGACGGATAACTCTTTGACTGTAGAAGCCAAGACCATAAATGTAATTGGTTTTCGTGGTTTTTCTAATTTTCTTCTTTTAGAAGGAGGTGACTAGAAGTAGAAAGAAAGAAAACAAATTACAAGTCTATGCAGTATTAGTGGGGTGACTTTTGTACTCAGAAGACTATGATTCTATAAGACATGACGATTAAGAGCCATAATGTAAGCCACTAAACAGTCATTCACACAGCCTGTTTTACTTCACCCTCAAGAGTTTTAGACTAAAACCAGCTAACAGTATCATGCACTTTACACTAGCCTGATGGACAGAGGGAGTTTATCCTCAGATGTTGGGCAAAAAGCTTCATTGGTTCCTTCAGACTGTTAGCTCTCTGTGAGCTGAGAAAATGCAGCTGCACTTGGGAATAGAGGTCAACTGCTAATATCCACACTTTGATCCAAGGTCACTGAAGCTCTACTTGTGTCCTCTATAAGGTTGGTTATTGTCTATACCTATCTTCAAGTATATGAACATCCAGATCCAAAAAAGCAACTGGCTCACATTTAAGGTGAACGAGCTCCACATACATTCATGTAGTCAAGTCTGAGTTAGACATGATCGTAACTATTTGGTAACAGAATCTACATGTTAAATTAAAACTGAGTTCTCAAAAGGAAGCTTAAATTCAAATCCAGCCCCAAACTTAGCACATTTTTATTACTACTAAACTGCTCTCATATTACAAATTATCCTTACTTTCACTGAAACCCATAGGAAGTTCCTACACTGGCTTCCTTTTCCCACCCTGAACCTGGGTCACTCATGAATCACTTGTAACAACTGCTAACAGACCACCAGCCAGCTAAGAAATTCCACTGTCCATACAGCCCAGCACATCCAATGTTCCAATCCAAAGAAGACCAGTTTGTATCACAGTAGTTATAGCTCATTAGCCCCTTCCTAAGCAAGAGGCACAATCACCAAGCAAATCAGGTTAAGCTACTTACAGGTACTTGTACATCATCATAGAAACTCCATGCCAGTGCCCATCTCATGGTGCGTCCTTGACAGAATTCAGTATGAGTAACTTTAGGAACCTGTGCAAAGAAGTAACACAAAACTTCATTTCAGATTCACAAACAACATTGCTCTGCTGCACACATTTTTAAACAAAGCATATTTTCCCGTGACAGAAATGGAAATTCTTTCTGATACAGCTCAGAGACATTTGGGCCACCTGAAGTTGGTTAGTGCCAAGCCTGATACCACTGCCCACTACTCTTTATCTGCTCCAAAAAAATCAAATCTGCATTTACACTGCCTTTAAATCTAAAACTCAGATGTTACTGTTGTCTAGTCTTTCCATGCATGGATGCTGTAAGGCATTTATGTATGGTATGGAGAATGTGTTAAATACTAGCAAGGATAAAAATCAACCATCCCACTTCACTCTGATAAGCAGCTCCAAAGCATAAGCCCAAGGCCTGCATAGAAGGAGAAAAAAAGGGAAAAAAAATCTGCTACTTTTGAAAAAAGAGAGAGGAAAAAACTGTCTCTATACTAGAACTTTTCCTGTCTTTCTATCAAAATTTCCAATAAATACAGCAAATGTTAGGACAGTCTGAACAATGAGCAGACTTTCTGCAATATTTCTGCTGCATCCTAATGTGAACCACAACACAATATGTGCTTCGTTAAAACAAACGTATTCTCGGCTCTGATGCAAAAAAGATTACAAACCTGAACAAAAAGAAAAATACAAAAGGAAACAAGGTTTGCAATGATTTCTCTAACTTTACTAAGGCTGAGGTGCAACAGTTCAAGGACAGAGATGAAAATCAGATGCTTGAAATTTTGTGCCTAGCTCAGCGTCTGCTTTTAGCATGGAATTTACAGATTCCCTATGGCCTGTAATTCATCTTTCTGGGAACTGATTTTATCATGTATTCTCTTTCCTACCCCCATATATAAGGACAGATCTCATGATCACTTTCTGTGTATGGAAATGCTATGCTATGCTTCCTCCAGAAAGCCATCAAAATGAGAATAGCAGCACAAGGTTCAATTTTACTTGGTGCCAGAACTGTACACAAACAAAACAATGCTGTCACTTAAATCATTTTCCAATTTCTTCTATCAACAAAATTGCTAGATTTCATGTAAGCTAAGAGGAAAGAAAGTTAGATTTATTTTTTTTTACAACAACCCTATGAGGCTATTTTGAAGCAGGAACCCTGCAGGTTCTAGAATGGATGAAGACATGCTTCAGCACACAATGAAGACAAAAACCTGGAGACAGTATTTGCTACCTATCTGTCAGCTTTGAATCTACAATAACTAAATCTTAACTGTTTCCCTAACAAGGCATTGCAGTTCCTTCTTGTAATAAAAACTCAGTAAAATAATTCTACAATAATTACCCAAGTGCACTGAAACGTTGTATATATCGTATAGAACATATACAGGGTATCTATGGACTCTGTACAAACTCACCCCCTGGATTCGAAGTTCTTCTTTCAGTGGTGCTAAACTGCATTTCTTTCCCAGCATGCAACTGTACCATCTGCAGAGAACAGATTAACCAAGTGTTTTACAAATAGAGATCAACTGAAAATGGCAACTACCAGTAAGAACTACTTGGAGCAGAAAGCTGCCAGAACAATAGGAGATTTAAAACCAAAACAACAACAACAACAAAAATCACACTTAAACGGAGTGTGGCACAACAAACTTAAGACCAGAAGGCCCAAAGACAGATTGGACAGGGAAATCTTTTTGACCTTTTAGGAAATACATTAAGACTATTACTGAAACAATACCTAAACAACCAAGAATTTTGTTTCAATAAGTGACCCTAGTTATGTGGAAGATGTTACACCTTACAAGAATTTGTCCCAATTTCTCCACTTTCTTTGGAGAGTGAATCAGAATAAAAAGGAATAATCAACTATTGACAAGCACTTGTACCTCTACTCCTCCTGCTCACCATTAACTTCCTTATCCAGCTTTCCATAAACTAACCCATATTTCATGAGGAAAAAACCAGGGGGAAAAAGCGAAAGAAATTCATTTTCCCACTTCTGGTGAAGCTTACCCTTCCACACAGCTCCACATCTTCAGTATCTCCAAATATTACAGCTCTGTTCTTCATCTAAATTATCATTCAAGCTCTACAACCCCCTCTTCCATATTTTTTGATTACTGGATCCAAAAAGCTTACTCATAAATACATATATGTAATGTATTGAAGGACAAAAATCAGAATTCCCACTATCAAGGGACAGTTTTTTCAAAAGTATGCACCTAAACTGAGGGCAAGCACTTTAAATTGTTCACATATACAAATTAAATATTCTGTACATTAAAAAAAAAGGATTATCAGGGTGACAATTAGATGAGGTTCTATGCAATGCTCTGCCTAGAAGGGTCTAAACAAGACAAAAGTAAAACATTTCTTGAACATAGAAAAGGCAAGCTGTATTTCCTTTCTTAGGGCACTGATGTACCTATTTTACACACGTAAAATTCTGGCAGTTGTATTTTAGAAGGATATTTAAAAAATAATTAAAAAAAGGAATTTTCCAGAACAGCTATAGATATTAACCTACAACACAGGGGGAGTGAAAACCTGATAGTCAGAAAACTGAACTGATGTGCTATCTGCTTATGTTCTCCTAAAGAAAGCATCACTATATTCACCCAAGACAGTACAACAGTGCCATTTAGTAGGCAAAGCTGCTAGTTACCAAAACTCAGCCAGGAAAAGATAGAAACTTTTAGGTAATGAACAGATAATTAGGCAATGTCATAAACTCTCCTCCATCCCAGAATGAGCCTTGACTGTCTTTAGCAAGTGTCTGCTATTTTAGCTGCAAGTACATCATGGCTAGGCTTCGCGAACGAAGATTTGGGAAGGGCTCTGCCCAACAAGTGTCACTCATATGGGGTTTTTTTGTCTGCTTTTAAATACCTCCAGCAATTAGTTCTAATTGTTTGATGCTCAGGAACGATTACTGATGTGCATGTATCATTAAACAAACCAAACAGATACCACTGGACTACAGCTACATACCTTACTTAAAATATCATTTTCACATGATTTTTGCCAAACATGAAGGTAAAAGGTGTTTGGTTTGGGGGTTTTTTAACTGGAACCAAAAGCACTTACCGTAACCGCTTTTTAAGTTGAAGACTATCATGAATAATTCTTTTGACAAATTCTAGTTCTCCTCCCTCAGCCATGATTTCTGTGATACCTCCAGTATTTACAGAACTGGGAGGGGGACGCCGTGGATTTCGAGAATTTACTCCCTGGATAAAATAAAAAGGAACATTTGACATGAATATTTAATGAAATGTTCGTCTTGTTTTGTTCACTGCTTTCTGTCTTTAGTCTTTAGTTGGTACCAAGCATCACCACCTCTAGTTATCCTCCCCCCAGCAGCACCACAGATAATAGACAAAGATATATTCCAAATAAGCATAACAGTGAAATTGCTACAATCTCAAACCTAAGTAAGCTACTTGCCACACATCAGGATCCTGCTAATATGAAATATGTGGTTCCAATACGTGTAAGACATGCTGACTACATGCATCTACACAATTACAAACTACAGTGTTTTATTACATCTTAAATCTTTATTCTACTGGCCTATATTATAGAGTTACACTTCTGACTGCATTCAGTGGGTATTGCAAGACCTGCTCTGAGCTGTATGATACTGTCTACATCACTAAGGAAACAAAAAATACAGATAAGCATAATGCCAGAAACTAATTCCTCTGCACCACTGTTATGCAGCAGGCACTTGATTACAGATTTACTAGCTGTCTAGTTTCCAAACTAATTCTCTAAGACAGTAAGAACTTGTGCAATTCTACAGCTCATCCTCCACTTTCGGAAAGGTAACAGTTAAGTTTTCAAAATTCCCTTGGGGCCACGGGGTGAGGAGGGAGAAGACTTAAACGCTATTTCATAGTGATCTGGGATTTTCCAATTCAGCTGCCCCAAGTAAAGAGGTTAAAAATTGTTGCTACCTTCCCACTAACAGAATACTGAAGTACAGGCAACATTCAGTTTGTGAGTTTACCTTTGCTTCCAGCTGGTTGGCAAAAAAGGGGGGGTTGCACATGCAGAAATCATAAATGATCTCAGATTCTTCCTTCAGTGCATCCATTAGGAGTGTCTTCTGTGGTACCTTAACCACTATTAGAAAATGTGAATTTGGTCAGTAAGGAACTTCATATTCTATCTAGCATGCCACACACATTACACATTGTATAAAAGCTGTACTTTCTAAACAATACTTTCTATAAAAGACATGTAACAAATATTAGCATGCAAATAAAGACTTCAGGTTGAGGATCTGCATACAAACAGCTTGTATATTTATACACAGCAGCAGAACCACAAGTCTGTTTAAAACAGTACGGACTGCATGAGTTATACTGAGTTCTCCAATACAACCACAAATGAGCTTTAAGGGCTTCCAACTACAGGCACCACAGCTTCTCATGAGGCATGCTCCTTTTGTCAGCCTTTTTTCCAGTATAGTGAAACCCAACCACACCACTAAAAGTCCTGTGATGGCAGCAGTTAACAGAAATCTCTCAGTGTTCTCCAAATCAAGTTCTGGATTTCAAGACTGACGTGGACAATAGACTAAGATATACTGTTCATAAGGATGCTTCCAAAATCCAACAGAAGCAAAGTTTTTATTTCAGAGCTGATAAAATGCTTTTTAGTACACTGAGTTCCTACAGAAAATTTTCCAAGATCATTCCAGAGCAATTCTGGCATACTGCTATTGCTACCACAGGCATTGTTAGGACCTCATTCAGAAATGAGGAAAAAGAACTCTATCTGTACAAGATATGCCTATGTGGCAGTGTCAGGCAATTATCCAAGGGGAGCACTCTAGGTCACTTAGCAGCAGAAACAGCACAAACACTAAGAAATACTTCAGTAACAGACAAGAAATTCAGAGATAAAAACACCCCAGGATGAAGTTTAACTTTCAGTTTTAGTGAGGAAGAATAGTTCTGTATCCACACATCCCATGCTAGATGAGCTGGTTTTTTGGTTTAAGCACACAAGGGCCTCAGTGAATATTCTGCTTCAGTAAAAACAGTTGAGCGTGTATTTGGAAGGAACACAGACTCTGATACGCCACTGAACACGGCAAAAATACGTCACAACATTTGTATACTGATAAACACCTTATTACATCATACCTTTTATAAGATCAGACAAGTTATTCTGTTCCACATTCTTCTTGGCATAATTGAAGCACATGTCATCCACTTCTGTTGCAAGAAAATACCAGCCATTTAAGGTTGCTCCGAGTAATGGGTATATGCAAGATGCCCCTGTCCCTGCAGGAGTGAAAATCCATGAGAAAGGCAAAGTAAGTCTCTGGTGTTATACCTAGTGTGGCTGTCAACTATGTACTTTTTACAACAAAAAGAACTAACTTCACAAAACGCTGATTACTGATCATCTACTACTCAGATCTTTAGTGAGCTTTATTTTCATAATTTGAAAAATAACATTGTCAAATATGCACTTTTAGTAACATAAAGAATTTAATAATCTGGAATAAATTTCTAGTAAATTATTAACTTTGTTTTAAGCTATTTTCCTTCTGTACAACAGTGATTAATTTATATACAGAAAGCCAAATACATTATGGTTTTACTAAAGCAAATTTTAGTTTTACTACCACATATATCTCTTCTGCATTTTTCTATTATCTATCACAAATAATTTACTTTGATTCATAGAGCAACCACAGAAAAAATTCTGTTCCATCAGACTTTCTCGGATGCCCAAAACTATCAAAAAACCACAAGTACCAATTAAGATAACTAAAAAGACAGACAAACGGACAAAAACTTGGTAACAGAGAGATGCTAGCACAAAACAGTTACAGCACATCTAGGTGGTCAAATTACCAGTAACTATTAAATTCAGGATTAAAGGGAATGGATACAAGGGAAAGGTATCCCACCACCACCACAAAACTTGAGTTTAGACATATATCAAGAATCTGTTATACTGACTTATTGAAACATCCATGACAATGTCTGTCAGTAGGCAAAAGCATGGGGTAATTTCCAGCACTGCTGTAACATCTCTCTTGGATGACTTACTGCCTTCCCAGAGCTGGAACATCAAAGCTCATGCAAACTCAAACTGAAGATTTTGCAGTATGTGGAGGACTTAGAGGATCTGTCTCTTCTACCCAGCCACCTACCATGATGAAGTTCATAGAAATATTTTCAAAACTGAAAACTAATATCAAATGCATAGAAGCTGGCTAAGAAATTTAAGTTATAAAAGGAAAGCATCTGTGCACACAGCATGTGATTGATACAAACCTGGTATCCAGCATAACTCCAGCTAAAAATACAAGTCAGCAAATTTCAGGAGATAGAAAAATTCCATTACAAAAAGTCGTGCTAGCAAATGCCAAGAAAATAGAAATGTAAAATCTGGCACAGTTACCCAGATTCCTGAATCCAAGCTTTGAGGAAGTCAGTGTTTTAATTTTAATGTCAAGCATTAAAACATGGGTTGGAAATTAAATTCCAGCTTCTCTCAGTTTCATTATGAGTTTTCTTCAGCACAAAACAATCTTCGAACACAAGCCTTCGAAACTGTAAAGGGAGATTCTACTGACAAAATAAAAGATGTGAACTAAATTCAAATGTACTTCTACTGCTGCCTTTTAAATAAGTCACATAGAATAACCAAAAATTTGGAATCCAAATGCCAATTTTATTATTTGTATGCGGAAGTTCCTACAGAGCTTGCCTTTTTTGTTTGTTTGTTTCTAATGAAAAGCAAATTATGTGTATCCGTGTACATCTTATAAATTCACATTTCTACTGAGTAACTGTTTACATTAAACTGCTGCCTAATCTAAATATTGTCCTCCTATTACCCAATAATCCAGACTGAAACTGAAGAAACTACACTGGAAAATAGCATCCATCTGCTGATGCTTAGACCACTTTAAAGAACATTCTTCTACAATAAACAGGAAAGCTTTGACCATCTACAACCAAAATACAGCTTCACTAGCATTTGCCCTGTTTTCTAATTAAGCCTTTTCTACAATTTAGTTTATGAAAATAGACAAATTGAAATAAATTAAAATAAAAATCAGAGTTTAAAAAGGACAGATCATTCACCTGTCAAAATACCCATAAAAGTAGAAAAAATGTTATTAAATGGAACACTAGAAAATATTGCTATGCAACTCACAAACTCTCTTGTGCAGACATTCAAAAGCAAAATCAATAGATTACGAATTAAACACAATTCACTGGTTAGAACATTGAGAAGAAATATGATATTTTCTTTTTTTTAATTCTTGTAGAATGACATTTTTGCCTGTAATAGAAGCAGCCTAATTTTTGTGTACCACAGAACGCTCAAGAGAATTCAAGGATCCAAAAAGCCAAACTCAAACTTTTTTTTGTATCTCAAACTTCACGCTTCCCTGTGGGTGTGCAACAAATTATACCCGCTAGTGCCGCTGACGGGAAACAATGAAATAAACATTTTGTTTTGCCAAGTACCTATGTCGATGCCTCGCCTCAGCACTTGCTTCTCAGCATCCTGGTGGCCGATGAGATCCTCAACCCAGTGGATGTAGTTGAGCCTCAAGGGGACGGTGGGAATGAGCCTTTCCACGGGGATATCGATGGTAAGCCCGAAATCCTCCTTCAGCAGGGTGCACGTCAGAGCCCTCACTGCCTCGGGGTCCTTGAAATTCAGGCTGAAAGGCACAGGCAGCGTTTTTAAGGGCGCCCGGGGGCGGACACACACACGGGCGCCTGCCCAGCCCAGCCCAGCCCAGCCCAGCCCAGCCCAGCCCAGCCCAGCCTATCCAATCCAGTCCCATCCCATCCCGCCCCGGCCGTACCTCACCCTGCCGGCGAGGGTGGTCTGCACGTGCTGCTGGAACTCGGGGTACTTGCCGGCCAGGTATGCGAAGTCAGGCGGCTTGTCCTTGTAGCGGTTGCGGGCGTGCATAGACTTGTTGAGGGCCATGGCGGGCCGGGCTGTAGCGGGCCGGGAGCGCTGCGCTGTGCCGCCCGGCCCCGCTCCCGGCGCGCACCGCGGCCCCGCGGGCCGTACCAAGGCGCGGCAGGCGGCGGGGGGGGCAGCCTGGCTCCGCCCCGATCAGACCATCGCCTGCCGGGCAGGGGGGGACTCCCGTCTGTTGGGACGGAGAGTCTACCAATGTGTTTCCATAGAATCATGGAATGTTGCGGATTTGGAAAGGACCTTAGAGATCATCTAGTGCCAACCCCCCCTGCCATGGGCAGGGACACTCTCCACTATACCAGGTTGCTCAGAGCCCCATCCAACCTGGCCTTGAGCACTGCCAGGGATGGGGCATCCACAATCTCCCTGAGCAACCTGTTCCAGTGCCTCACCAAGCTCACAATAAATAATGTCATCCTAATATCCAGCCTAAATTTCCCCTCTTTCAGTTTGTACCCATTACTCCTTGTCCTGTCACTACAGTTCCTGACAAACAGTCCCTGTAGCCTCCTTCAGATACCGGAAGGTTGTTATGAGGTCTCCATGCAACCTTCTCTTCTCTACACTGAATAGTCCCTACTTTCTCAGCTTGTCTTCATAGGGGAGGTGCTCCAGCCCTCTCATCAACTTCGTGGCCCTCCTCTGGACTTGCTCCAACAGTTCCATGTCCTTCTTATGCTGGGGACACCAGAACTGTACACAGTACAATTGTAATGTAAATGTTCTCTATTCGGGCATCATCGCTTCAGTGTTAGCTGCTCAATTAGTAGAAAGGCAAATAAATAAAATTACAGAAACAGTTGTGTTTTTCTGGCGGCTGCTCTGAGGCTCACAGGCAGCAGCGTGAGGAACCTCCACTCCCACAGTCATATATATATTACCCACCCAAGTCACCGTCATTACCTTGAGGAGAATTTCAGTGTTCTCGGAAACACTTTGTAGCCATGGATTTCTGTAAAACTCCTGCATGAGGCCACTGGCAACCAAGCAGTTGCTTGTGGCTTATGTTGTGCCATGACCTTTGAAACACGTGGATTTTAAATGATGGATTACATGGTTTGAAGTGTGGGGGGAAAAAAAAAACCCAAGACTTAGAAGATTTCTGAGAATTTCCCCAGTTTAAGCACAGTTTCAATCTACAGCATGTACTTCTAATAGTTACAATGCTGCTGTGCTTGTTGAAGTTATGAAAACAAGTGTATTACAGTGAGCTTTGTACTGTCTCTGATTTAAAAAAACAAACAAACAAAAAATCATCCTCAATTAAAATAGTGTGTAGGCATAGCAAAACAAAGCCTCAAACTGGGAATTAAAAGTGACTTCAGTTTCCAGCTTTGCCATCGACTGTCAGGAATTTCCAGGTTTCAAGTAGGAAACCTTCAAGTGGAATAGCCTTAACATGATGCTTTGGTTCCTCAGAAAAAAACATGTAAGATTAACATTAAAGTTTAACCTATTATTATTCTTTTATTTAAAGATATTTTCCTGTTTAAAAAGCCAAATACAAATCAAATTTACTCATTGCATATTGTTTAAAAATTCACTTTAAATGTGCTAGCATCCCCTTTAACTCTTGAATATCTGAGAAGACCTGCAACTGGATTTAATTTCAGTCCCACTTCCTGCCCTCAACTAGCTTGTTGTCATTTGAGGTCAGCTAAGGTTTACATACAAAAGCACATAAAAGTTGGGTGGTTTTCCTAAAAAATAAATGAGACCACCAAGCCACCCATGCTTGCCACTTTTGGAAGTTATTCACCACCTTCTGCCCCCATCCACAGTCCCAGAAAAGAAGCTGATATGAACAAAACCAGAACGGAGATAAAAATATTAATTTTAATTCAGAGAATTTAGTGTATTTACAATAGAAAGTTTCTCTCTGGTCAAGGGATGAGAGACTAAAAAAAACTGATGTCACAAATGTGTGGACAACCTGCATCTGATGCAGGCTGATTGATTTTGCTACTTTTGGTTCACCCAGGGTAATAGCAGTGAGAAAATGACGGTGAGAGCCTGGACATGGTACCAAATGGCTCTCACACCCAAGCAGCAATCACAGAATGCAGTTCAGGAAGTAGTGTGAAGTTATTCAACAGTTGCTAAAATATATATACAGACACATACACAGTCCCATTTGCAGTTAGATTAGATTCATTGAATCATTCAGCTAGATAAGCAGGTAGACGTGAGCCTACCAACCTGCATGGAAGTGCAGATTTGCAGAGGTGCTCATGCTACCAGGTGCATAGGTACCATCTCACCCAGACATATGCATACATTCCTTCCCACTCTGGACAAACACACAGGCAGGTGTTTTGTTAATGTTAACTTACATGGTTTCTAGGTATAGAAAAAAACTCAGAAAAAAAAGCACCAACTCTCTCATCTGACTCACTGGCTCAGAACACTTACTCCTCTGGAGCCTGAGGGAAATGGTGTGTAAAGGATACCATTCTCCCGTTTCTCACAGAGAGCCACCACTTCGGAATCTCAATGAGTCTTTTGCCACAGCGATAATTCCTCGTTGATACCGAGAGGGGGCAATCCTCTCCTGCTTCCAGAAATAGGCACATTTCACACACCACACAACCCCACCCCACCCCCCCGCCCCCTCCCCCGCCACTTCCCGAGTAAGATTGAGCAATCAAAAGGCTGCAATGTGAGCCACTTCAACTGGTTAATCTCGCAGAAAAATAGACCTGCAAGAAGTGAGTAAGTGCTTTAGCATCTGAATGGGTAACCTAACCAAATTACCCTACAAGTTTACCCACCACATGGTGTGTGGAGCACCTCTTTCAGCAACAACTTATCCATAGAGCAGCTGATCTATCAAGTCATTTGGAGCTCCTGTTTTCATCTTGGTCAGAGTCCACACACCTCTTCCTTTATGAGGTGCTTTCCCTCCTTGGAAAAGGAGTTGTTGCAGGGGTCTGTCGTGGCTTAAAGGTGTTGACTGGTTGAGAAGAAAACCTCAGCCTTCCTCTAGCATAATCTGCTGCTGTCTCCAACAAACCCAGCTGACGAGTGTTAGGAAGATGGGGAGATATGCAAAAAGTAAGAGAGTTATGATCCTCTCTTAACAGTCATAGCAAAGGCAACTAAAGCGGAAATAGATTAAAGATGGTTGTGGAGGCTGCAAGGTTGAGGAGAGTTCTGATTTAGCAAAGCCTCTTGAATAGCATCACTGCAGCCACTGAGCTCCATCTGGTTGAGAACAGAGCTGATGTGCTCCACAGTTGCAGCACGGCCCATCTGCAGTTTCCACAGTCTAAGCATTTCATACTGAGCATCTCGTAAACGCCGATGGTCCAGCTCAATTCGCTCTAGATCATAGTCACTCAGACCCAGACGCCGCACAAACTCTTTCCACCGAGATGGCGGTACATGATCCACCACAGTGTAGAGAATAGCAGGGTCTGTGAGAAGAGAAGGAAAACTATGAGAAACAAGATTATGCAGCCTCAAGGAGAATGCAACTAATCCAGGGCTGGATGGTGCCCTGGGATCTTGCATTGCCCCCTCCTCTTAAGGTCTTCTCCAGAGTGATCACACAGACTCATGTGATGTCCAGACTTGCTCTTATCCCTCAAAATGTAATGAGAATGCTTCCTATGCTCTTGTGTAAGGTTATGACCACACATGCTTAGGGCCTTGCTGCCATACATTGCTGAAAAAAAAATTGTTCTGGGTCACTACCCCAGAGGCATTAAAACTGACAGCATGTCGACACAATCCATTTTGCTGGTAGGGAAAAGGGACAACAGAAACGCCTTGCATAGATATTTAGCATCTACACATTCACAGGCTCTGGGCATGCTTCTGCCTTTGTACTGTGCCATGCATGAAGTATACACACAGGTCATGTACACTGGGTAAGATCTGTCCAACACACTCCTAGCTGCATCTGCATAATCAGGTTCTTGTTTGCCTGGGGAAGGAGGGAAGGATGGGGGAGTTCCACTTACTGTCTGGAAGCTGCGTCTTCCTCGCAGGTCTGACGCAGTCTGGTAACTCATGTGAACTTTGCGGCAGAGGTGCAGATGGTGTTGCATTCACTGGCAATTCTATTTCCTTCTGGGACTCAGGAAGAAGGATGGAAGTTTCATTTCTTTTTACCTCAACCTGAAAGATACATTGCTTAGTTCAGAATCACCCACAGCAGCACAGTACACCTGTCTCCTGCAAGTAATCACTATCTTTATATACTAAAATTTATCCAAGACAGGTGGGGAGCAGGTGCTGAGATTTTAGTTCTTCCTATATGCTGCGTTTGAGCAGAAAACACCAAACATTTCTTTCCACCAGAACCCTAAGAGTGTAACTCTTTTTTGGCACCAAAAAACAGTAGTCTGGAAAAAAAACATTTCTTTACAAAATCAAGTAAGGCTGAGACCCAAAATCACCACCATTCTAAAACTCCACATTCCACCTTTCCTATCAGCCTTCTCTGTAAGGCTGTGGAAACCCCCACCTCAACTACTGCTTGGACTCTCTTATTTACAGAGCTACACTGGACCTGAGAGAATGCTGTGAAGCAGCACTGAAAGGCTAGTGGAGTCAAGATCTGAAGTAAAATTAGTTAAATCCTTCAAGCTTGGGGTACACAGAGAGAAAAGGGGATTAAGGGCCAGCTATCCGAACAAAATGCATCCAGAAAGAAAAAAGCAAAAACCAGGAGTTTGAGAAGCATCCTCTAGAAGAAGGGAAGTAAAATGTTAATGGCTCCATCTTCTACAGAAAACGACTTTTGAATTAAACAGCCTTATTACTCAGCTCGTTTGAAAATACAAGGCCTGAAAACAGCCCATGGGGAAAAATATTACTCTTGATCCCAGGCTAACATAGTCAAAAGCGGAAGGTAAGCTCTTATACCCATCATCTTGCTCACCTCTGATACTGGCTCCTTGGTTGTCTGTGGCAAAGAAACTTCAAAGGAAAGAAAAAGAAGGCAGAAATTATTTTCACTTCCTCCCGTCCCAGAGAAAACAGGAAAGCAGCTATCACAGTCCTGCTCTCGAAAAGGCCTTACAGCAAAATGCTGTATCCCAGCAATGAGCTCACATGCACTTCCACTCACAGCTGTGGGCATGGATGAAGAGTTGCAAGAACCTTAACAATAGCCTTAGCTATTGAGTTCTCTGGCCTTGCAGAAAAGCAGAGTAAAGGGATCCCACTTGTCCCCTCATGTGTGTGCATATACAGAAACACGCAGAAAATGATGCCTATCCCAATCAATATCACTGCATATGCTGCTTTACTCACCACAGGAGTAGAAAGGCGACATTATCCTATTTTCCCGGAGCAGCTTCCCTACTTTATTTACAATGTAGAGGATAGAGATAACTCCAAATATTGCAACAAGGATGCCAAGGACAAGGGTCCCACCTGGACAAAAGGAAGAGAGCAAATGCGTGACTGACTAAGAAAGGGAGAGGTAAGTGCTAGAGGAAGAACAGCAAGTGAAGATATATGTAATAATATATAATGGTTTGAGAGAGTGGAAAAAACACTTTTCAAAAGGTATTAACAGAACAACAGCCCACACTGAAAAGATTCCACTGCCCCTCAGTTCCCTGATACTCACTCAGCCCGGATGAAGTTGGTGGGGTAGTCACTGGGCTATGACACTGCAAGCATTCTTCTCCAGCACAGCTGAAAGAGAAAACCAGAGATGCGAGTGTGCATGAAATGATACACTAGCCATTTGCAATCATCCTAATTAACTGTTAAGTCAAGATGAGCCTGTAAAGCAGAGCAATGCAGTGTGGCAAGTGACTTTGTCTTTTTAGTGGGCTGTTGCCTACACAGAGGAGACTGAGGGTAGCAGAGGGGAAGACCTAATTGCCCCAGAAAGGCAGAATGTTGTAAAGTTATGTTTAGATGGAAAGAGCCTCGAGAAAAATTTCCTCCCTCTTTGGAGCTCATAACTGCTGTCTTTCCTACTCACTGGTGGGACATCCAGAGTAAAAAACTCACCTGTTGCAAGGCTTGCAAATGTTACTACGTGACAGGAAGAACTGAGGCTTACACCTGCAAATTGTGTTCCTGTCCTTCGAACCTGTAGAGAAAAGAAGAAACTGTTGCCATAATCTGGACAGAGAAGAAAACAAAAGGAGAAAAATCCACTCCAGGATGGGTGAGAGGTTATCCTTCTTTAAGCCTGGAAAACTGCTACTGAAGAAGAGAAAAAGGATTCAGTCTACATGCGAGACAGGATTGGAGGAGGATAAAGGTAAATAAAAGGTAAGAGCACCACTGTCCTTGTAGGTGGGTCATCTCTGTAGAGGCTTTGAAAGGGACTAAAACTACAATGCAGCTGAAATTGGTCTAATGTGCAAAAGCAGGAAAAGTTACTCAAGTTCAAGCATGACAGGAAGGGGAAACCACATTAGTCAGGCAAAGATGAGGGAGAAGTGGTCCCTGAGCAGCTGGGACTGGTGAGGAAGTCAGTTCAGGGCAGGAAGAAATCACTTCAAGCCATGGGACACATATCCACTCTTGTGATCTGATATTCTGTGAGTGGAAGGGGTAAGAAACGCAAGAGCTATCGCTTCTAAGCGAGTCACAGGATGGACACTGAGTAAAACAGGTGTGAGGAGGAGCAGACAAGAATAGTAATGGAAGGACTACATGAGAGGAGCTACATGAGAGGAGGGAAAAAGGTATTAGAACAAGCAGCATTCTGTGGCAAGTGAGGGACAGGACTAAAACAGTTCTACATCAACTAAGAGGAAAGGAAACTGCTCAAGGGTAGCACACGATGATGACTATGGTGGATAAGCACAAGTGTGGAAACCGTGACAAGACTACCAAGCACCAGAGGGAACACATTCACCAGTGAAACAGCAAACCTCATGCTAGACAGGGTAAGAGATGGGAAAGGGATCGGGAACAGCAGAATTTGCAAAGGAGAGGGGATAGCTTTAGGACAGCAAGGTAAGAGGCACTTAAGGGACATTAGACTACAGCACAAAGTGGAGGGCAGCAAACAGTATTTGTTTAAGATCTCTGATTCCTGACTGGAGATGAGGCACCTTAGGACAGCTAACACAGGTACTTCTCCCAGACACCCGCATCATCTCAAGGTAATGCCCAATTCCACGGGGTATAGTTCAGCATTACCTAAACAGCTCTTTACTTAAAAACACTGCACGGAACACTGTGGTGGTTCAGCAACCGACTGACAAGGAGTTCAGCTGAGCACTGGGACCAGCAGTATTTTCATCCATTGTACTCAAAGTCCTTCCAGCAGTTGGTAAGGGAAATGCAATGAGCATGAGGAGAAAGACAAAAAAGGAAGGCAAGAGGGAAACCTGCTCTGGAGCATAAAGACCTTGCTTCAGGACAGGCAAGGCAGAGGCACCAAAATTAAGTAGAAAATATCACCTTCCAACGGCCAAAAACCAGGAAAACGTTCAAGGACAAAAGGAAGAAATTGCGATAGAAAGCAGGGATTGATGGCAAGGCAGGAAAAAAATGGCAGTCTTTCTGGGGAAAGGGAGCAGACAAACCCAAGAGTTGTTCTGAAACTACAATAATTTCAGGGCAATGCACTGCAGCATGTCAGAAATGAGCAAAGGGTTGTTAATGTCTACCCTAGTACAGTATGTCTGTACTGGAGCCATATCCTTGCCATACTCACAGCTGGCAATAATCCCATTGTCACATGAGCTGCAGTTCCTACACTGGAAGAGATCAGATTCAGAACCAAACTGATATTGATTCTTCTGACAGCCACATACAGTATCTTGCTTTGGGGTGCAGGGGGCCTCTACTATCTGCTGGAGTTCTGAGGAAAGAAAGGAGAAATGATTATTCCAACCTCTTCCCTCACCTTCAGCTGAGAGCACTGTTACAATGACAGGTATTGTTATCCCCTCATTTTCACAGAAAAAGGCCAAAAAGGCCTGCAAATTGTGTCTCAGACTGTAATAATTTGGTAACCCTTATTCCTGCTGTCCCCAATCCCTTCCCATACACTATCTTACCCATTTGACTACTTACTTTTTCAAACTTCCTCACTCACCTTGCCATCCCTTCCAGCCCCCACTCACCACCATTTTCCTCAGATCCTACAGATTTGATAATAACTCACCTGTACGGCAACGTGTACACTGGAAGCATTTAGACATGATGTTATCAACTGCTGTGAATGTGCCATTAGCACACGGAAGACAGACAGGTGCCTGGTCAGGCCGATCACAGTCTCTTGCTTTGTAGGTACCTGCAAGAAAATCACTTCATAGAGCTCTGATAGGAAGGCAAATGCATTGTCTTAGAGAGGACCAGAGTCACTGGTTCCTCAAAGAAACCCTGGAGTTTATGGTGTAAGGACCAAGTATGCTTCCTCTCACCAGTGTGAATGACGCTGACAGCCCAAAAGAAGAGATAAGGAATAAGAAGGGATAGGTACTAAGGAAGGGAGCACTGATGTAGCTGTAGGAAAGAGGAAGTTTGAGAGTGCAGGACAGGGAAATGCCCCTAAGGTGAAGGTTGCTACTACTGTATTTATTTTACGTACCTGCATGACACCTCATGCAGCAGTGGGTCTTTCTAGGATGTAGGTATTGGTCCAGTTGACAATGCATCTGCTTCTTTTCTCTCCTCAAGGGGTTAGAGGGGTCTCTTCCATCCAGAGCTACACGATGGACTTGCAGTGTATATGGCACTGGAGCAATTTCTACAGATTCCTTTGTCAACACGCAGAGAAATGTTAGGATAACCTGTAAATGCAGATGGAGGGAGAGAGAGAGAAACAAGATGAGAAAACATCATACCCCTTGCAGACTGCACCCCTGACTTCAGCACTTAGAATTAAATTTTACTATAACAGTGAGTTCAATTTACTTGACAATTCTGATATTAGCACCCTCCACTGACAAATGTATGGGGGGAGATGATTTACAAAAAAAAAAAAAAAAAGGCAAAAAACCCACAAAACCTACAAATGGATGCCTGTCATCTCTGTTACTAATATGCCGTATAATGGTCTCTATGACAAACTGGTTGTATATAAAACAAATACTTTTCATGATGTGCAATTTACAGATAGAATGCTTTGAAAATGCTGCAGCTTGCAAGAAAGTTACGCAAGAGCAAAAGAATGTTTTTATTAAGGAAGGCAGTAAGGCCAGCCATGTAGAAACAGTTCCACGGAGAAGAATGCATCCAGTACTTGCAGTTCTACTGAGTAAATACACAAGATGGGAAGTCTGGAATAAGAAGGCAGAGGAGGATTTCAGTGCCTGAAAAGTACAGGAAGCTTCCAAAACTACTCCTGAGCAAGTCAGCCCTAGAAATGTGGGAAATTCAGGTTTTCAACTTTTCCCCACATCAAATATACCTTTTAAACTGCAGCAGATAACAATCAGGCTGTACAGTCTGACACAAAAATGTGCATTTTCTTTTTTTTTCCTTTAAGATTTTATTTCTATTTTTCCACTTGAAAATTACTGTTGTCACGCCAATCTTAACAGAAATATTAAGACTGGCATGACTGCCATATGACTGTAAGAGAGCATGAATGTGTACACACACACACACTAACAACGGGTTAGAAGAACAGCCTGTACCAATAATGAAGGACGCCATTCCCTGGACACTTTTTTTTTCAAGACACTATTCCCAGCAGTGAAATTGAGAAATATGTTTATGTCATGGCCAAAGGTCTACACTCTGGTAAGACCACAGCATAGATGACTCATCAGCAAAAGATCCTGCACCAGGAGGATGGTAACGAGAGTGCAGCATATCACAAACCCTATTCCTTTTCCTGTTGGCCCAAAAGAAAAACAGACCCTAGGCATGTATTTCAAACATGCATCCAGACAAGGAAGAAACATACAACAACAAAAAGATGTTAAAGAAACCCAACAAACAAAACAAACCCAGGTAACAACTTGACCCAAGATTTGTGAAACCTGGATTCAGCAAGTTTCTACAGCAAAGACCCATCCCATCCCAGCTGATAACTCCTGAAGGATATGATAGATTTGCCCAAAACCTAGTTTGTAGTACCATAAAAAACTCCAGCAGCACGATGAAGACTTGACAACCAGCATCCCTTGTCATCCACATTGCACACAAGTGATCCTGGCCACACCATCTGACCATATTCTGAGCGCGTTGCAGAGAGCTTGTGCCAATGCATCAGATCGTATGAATTGATGAAAATGAACTAATTTTTTTGCAAAAAACACCACCCCATGCAAATAATCTCACACAGAGCTTTACCTTGCTATCTTCCCTTTAATTGTAATGTTTGCCCAGCTTCCTTTTTTGAAAGTGGCAAGATGCCCAGCAGTACAGGCACAGCTTCAGAGTTCTGTTTCTTTTTTGCTTTTTCAGCTAGGAGAGTTATAGCAAAAGCAAAGTAAACCAATAAGGGTAAACCACAATGCTGATACCAATTTTGTGGTTGCAAGCTTAAGAAAAGATACACAAAATGAGACGGCTATGACAGCCCCACACTGTCCTGTTTCTCTCTCAGAATTAAAGCTTTGGGGGAGAAAGGTACATACCTAAAAGCAACTTAAAACCTCAAGAAAAATGGGGCTTTGCAACTTTTACAAAGCTAAAACACCATTTTTCAGAGAGCTCTGTCATACAAGGACATATTCAATAGACCAGATGTTAAAATGGCAAACAGGAAAAGAGAACCACATACTTAAATAGCTGTCATTTCGGACTTAATTATCTGACCACAGGATAATTGTTAGCACTTCAACAACTCCTCTCTAAGAAACAAAAATTGTTTCAGCAGCTGACAGTCTTACAAGATTGCTTGCTTGCAGAAAAATGGGTAAAAGGTCATTCACACAGATGGTCTGGTCTGACACACAGCAATAATAAAAAAATCTGATTCTCTGGCCAATGATCAATTCTCTGATATGAGAATATATACAGTCAGCCCGTAAGTCACACGAGTCAGCAATAGAAACAAGATGAAAGTGTCAAAGATTAAGCCAAAAACACAGAGAAAATTAGTCAAGTACATCTTCAAAATCAAAAGAAAACAGAAGTATTTTCAGTTTTTCAGATTAAGTGAAAGCGTGTCTATACGTGTAATAAAACCAGAGTTAACACATAATTACTGATCATAATCTGAGGAACAGAGAGTCATAGACCACAAGTGACTCACAAACCAATGACTCGGCCATCCAGAAAAATCATTCACATGGTAAAAAAAAACCACCACCATTTTAAGCAACTCCCCAAGCCATTCAGCAGTACACTGATTTATACCAGCGACAAACTGCATAAAATTCAGGCCATACATGAAAGTAAAATAGTCTATTCTATTTCAGTTGGAAAGGATCTACAACAATCATCCAGTCCATCCCTGATCCCTTCAGGGCTGACCAGAAGTCAAAGCATGTTGTTAAGGGCATTGTCCAAATGCCTCTTAAACACTGACAGCTTTGGGGCATCAACCACCTCTCTAGGAAGCCTGTTCCAGTGTCTGACCATGCTCTCAGTAAAGAAATGCTTCCTAGTGTCCAGTCTGAACCTTTCCCGGCTCAGCTTTGAACTATTTCCAGGTGTGCTATCACTGGATCCCAGGTAGAAGGGATCAGCACATCACTCTCCCCTTCCCCTTCTCGTGAAGCTGTAGAGAACAATGAGACCACCCCTCAGCCTCCATCTTTGCAAACTAGACAAGCCCAGAGACCTCAGTAGCTGCTCACAGGACTTGCCTCCTCTGAGGCACAGGGCCTGCCAGCCTTTCCACCAGCTTTGTTGCTGTCGAAAATTATATATTACTTGAAAGTAGTTAAGTGCTTGTTTAACATAAGTTAGAATTGTTAGGCTGCAAGTTGAACTTGTAGGCTGCAATCTGAACCATATGGCTGTGTTGTGTAAGGCAAAGATGGATCATAGTGAAACATGGAGATAAAAACATACATGTTAATAATAAAAACCATGAACGTTAATAATAGAATAGACAAAGCTGTAGCTTAAACATTACTTAAAAATTAACAGCTAGAGTGTTAAAAAAATTTAATAGCCCATAGATTGTGGTATATGAGCTGTAACAACCATATTATAACATGGATTACAAAACTGGCCAAAACCCCCACCGAAACCAACCTAAGAGGATGTGACGGTGACCATACGGCAACCTCTTGGTAACGAAACAATCAAGACAGAGAAGACTCCAGACCCTAATAATGTTTTGGTCCAGACTGTCATGTGAGGAATGGGGAGGTTAGATCATAAGAGTATAACGGCCCAGAGATTTCTCTGTTCAGGGTCCCTCTTTTGAGGCACCTAGCTCCAGCTACCAGATATCATAATTGACTTGTGTCAATAAATCTATCTGATGGAGATGAGAACCTAGTGTCAAGAATTTCTTTAACAATTGCCATCCTCTGGGCATATTCAAGGACCTTCACACCACCCTGAAATGGTGGGGCTCAGAACTGCATCCAGCACTCCATGTGAGGCCACACCAACACTGAGCACAATGGGATGTTCCCCTCCCTCTGACTGGCTGGTGATGCCACGATTGATGCTCCCCAGGACGTCTCCCCTCTGGGCTGCCCGGGCACACACTGCTGACTCACATTGAGCTGCTGCCCACCAGCACCCCCAGCGCCTGCTCTGAAGGGCACTCTTCAGCCACTCCTCTCCCAGTTAATACTTGTGCCTGGCAGTACTGCATCCCCTGGTGCAGGATCCAGCATTTGGACTTGTTAGAGTTCATTCCATTAATCATTGCCTGGTGCTCCAATTTATCTAGAATAAATACATTGAACAGAACTGGCCCTAGAATTGAGCCCTGAGGAACACTGCTGGTGACCCACTGCCAGCCAGATGTAGCTCCATTTACCAAGCACTGAAGCCTCAAACCATTGATAAAAGCTCATCAAGGCACAGTTCAGAGGTCTTCTGCAAGTGAAATAAGGTGATTTTTCACTGTTAGGTATACAAGATACTCCAATTCCCAGGAGAGAAAACAAGTACCCACTAACCAATGCTGCATAGAAAAGCAGACAACCTGTATTAAATAAGCTGAATGATAATTCAAACTACATCATGCACACTACTGATTCATATTCTCAGTGAGTGGGGACTGCCCAGGGAAAACAGAGTCAGCAGAAACTCTAGGTTTTACTTCTGAAACTGATGCAGGAATAAACAAAATATGTCAGATGAAAACCAGAATGCTGCTTCCTTAAAACATTCCACCTCTCTGGGTGACAGCTACTTTCCCCTCACATTCTCCTCACATGTGAGGCAACCTTAGTTCCCTCTCGTGTCTCATGCCAGCACTTACTCAACAGCTACAGTTAAAAAAATCAAGACACAAGCCCAAAAGCTCTTCTATGCAAAGTTTTGACAGCTAAGACAGCAGTTAGAAGCCCCTTCACTATCTCCAAACTCAAATCTTCTTGAATTACTGCCACCACTACAATTCTCACTCTTGCTGCTCCTTCTGCCTCACCAGGCCATGCTCAGAGACCTGCAAGTAAGGTGACATCTCCACAGAGAAAGGTAAAGAAAGAAAGGAACAGCAAAGATAAAAGCGAAGAATACAGCAAGATGCCAGAAAGATAGGTGGGAGGGTGTAAATAATAAAGGTCATTTGAGGGCAGTGTTCTCAGGCCAAGGACAAATAAGGCACAGTGTCTGAAACAGAGGGACAGCACAGGAAAGTGCAGCGTATCAGGGCTACCATATTATCACCTCACAAGGCTAGGAGTACCAAATTACTCAGCAT